TTAAATAGTATTTGAACAACCGGTATTTCAACACAGCGGGACCTTTTGTGTACCACGTTGTCAATGTTTCATGCGAATAATGAGGTACTCTTTTTTTTTTAATCAAAAGTGATTTGTCAGTGCGAGGCTCAAATAGAATTGTGAATTTCTCAAAAAAAAAAAAAAAACTTTTACCTATCGTGAAGTAAATGGTAGGCCACGTTTTCAAAAGTATAGCTGGTCAAGGTGATTTCTCCCTTCATTAGACGCCAAATATTGAGTAAATGTCGACCACATACTTTATACACCGAGGTCTTTTGATATCCCCATTGACTTTTTTTGATACTGTCTGTGGACATGGCGATACGAGAGAGTTCATCCAATAAGTGAATACCCAATTCTACACCTCGTTCCACGAGATAACCCCAAGATGCGTTTTGGACTTCGTAACCTACCAGCATATCGGGATCAAAATGACGAACTCTGTTGATGAGAAAGCTAAACAAGTCTTCCTCGGTGTCTGCATAATCGATCATGGCACCTAAATCATGGGGTTAATGACGTGAGAAATAAAGGGCGAGAAAAAAATACGTTACGCGTGTTGCTTAGGCCTACTTTGGATATATCAAAACTTTTGAGAGCAATGATACCTACATGATACCCTGAATACCCATTGTATGGAAAACATCGATCTTTTGTTTGTAAGCACCAAAATATCACTTGCACTACATCTTGTTGAGGATCCGGTAATAATGTCCCCCTCGTATTCACTATTTTCTTTCTTTATCAGCACACTTCTATGTATATAAAAAAAAAAGAACGTACCATGAATCTCTAAACTGAGATAATCAATGAAATCATTATCCACCTTAATTTCAATATTTGGTTTCGTCGCACTCAACTTGAAATCAAAGGTGTTGTCTTTTGTTGGTTCGTCTAGTTGTGAACTCACGCGTGTCCTTTGTTTCCATTGCGCTACATGTTCATAACTCGGTGGGTCCACAGCAGGTGTCCATTGTTTAATCCGTGTATGCTCCAACCCAATTTTCTTATCAAGAGAAGCATGAAAAGTGCTTTGGAATTCTTTCAATGTATCTGTCGTAGGTAGTTTAAACTCTTTCCCAGCAAATACAGTAGGATACGAAGGTGCATCCGATGGTTTACTGTAAAATGGTTCCCTGTACACTACGGTGGTAGGTACATGTATCTCTGGCGGTGAAGGTTGGTATATGTATTCAAACTGTGTAGGGGAGGATGCTGTAGGTTCGAGCAAAGGAGAAAAAGGATCATGTTCTTCATGCACTAAAGCCGTTGACATTTCGGGCAGGTTAGTATCATCAGAAGGAATAGATGGTAAAGTATCCATGGAGAGTTCTTTTTGTACTGCTTGTACTGTATGCACTGTCGTTTCTTCTTCATGTGTCTCTTTCTCATTGACTACAGATATCTCTTCTTGTATCACAATCTCTTCCTTATTCACTACGGGTACCTTATTCTTTTCCTTATTTTCAACGTTTTCTTTCACGGGTTTCTTGCCAAACCGCTCTTCCACTTTTCGACATCTTTTCTTAATGTATTCGATTCTAGCCTTATTCTCCTCTTTCTGTTTCTCGGTGGGTATTGTATTCGATTTGGGCACAGGTGTAGTATTTTTCATGCCTCGCCTCATATTTTTTAATCGCTGTCTTTGCAAATCCCATTCATCTGCTGAAGTCAAAATCTTTTTGGGTTCATGGGTATCATTGGGTCCATCGACTTGTGAAATAAGTCGACGTCTTCGCTTTTTTTTATTAAGACCGGGTGGGCCAGGTACAGGAGGTAAACTACTAATGCTAAAAGGCATATCCTCCATATCAAAAATGTCTCTTTTTTTTGCCACTGCTGAGGCAACCGGTGGTGGTGGTGGTGGCGGTGGTGGTGATGGTTCGCTTGTGTTTTCAAAATTGAGTTGACGTGGTTGGTATTGGAATTGATCTTCTTGTGCTTCAATCCATTGAGCTAAAACACTGTTGTTTAATGGATCTGTTTGGCTGAAATAATCGTCTTCGTTTTCATCTAGGTGTGCATCAACTTGCTTGTTTACATCCTCTTCGTCCTCGTCCTCGTCTTCTTCTTGACGAAAAGATGGATCTCGGATAAAGGATTGGATGATAGATGGGTCCAACTGAGATGAAATATTCCAATCACGATACCTGGTAGGTGTTGCTGATACATTATACTCGCCTTGCTGAGAATTGATGGGAGTTCTCTGAGGAGAAGAAGATGGAGCTACTTGTTTAACAGGATGAAGTGCTTCCACTGCTTGAAATACCGTCAATACTTGATCCAACAAGGGAGAATTGTCCTGTTCCCACACATGATGATTTGCCATCATTTTTTCCATATTTTTTCGAAGTCCAGGTTCTGCTAACCAAGGGACGTGAGGTTCACGCGGTTCTGTTTGAGAGACGGGTGGTATGGTGGGATCATCCATGTCTCTTGCTTTTCGTCTTTTTAATTCGTCTTGCCAGATCACTTGTAACGAAGTCACCAATTTATCTTTGGCAACCTCGGGTTCATGCAATTGTGTATGGATGTCTCGCTCGACCAGATCTAAACGATTTAAAATGGCCATACTCGTAATATCCAATTCCAATTCACTATAACTTTCACGAGGAATGGTATTGGTATGTTGTGTATCTACGGTATCTGCTGTATACAATGGAGCATCCTTGACGTCAAACGCTCGAGGGTAATTGGCCAAGGGTAAACGAAACTGATAGATTTCCTCTACATCATCCAAATGAATCCAATCCATACCGAATAAATTATAATCCATGAGAAACTGAAGTTCGAAATTAATGTGTGCTTCATGTGGTTGAAAGGGTGTGCCCATCAATGCACCCGACATTAAAACATCCACCATGGTTTGCTTTTGTGCTGGGTTCACTAGGTAGATTTTTAAAAAGGTTTGATGTCCCACATGGTATCCATAAAAGGGTACTCCTTTAGTCAAGACAAGAGCCATAATATGGTGGTTTTTTTCTCCATGGGGTTGAGCTAAATTCATGGCTTCATTGAGATTGGTGCCAAATTGAAAAATTTCTTTTTGAATGTCTTCCTGGGTGCTGCAATGAGGTGGGATCGTGTATGGTACAAAGAAATAAGGGTACACCTACCATGACATAAGCAGTGAGTTTTTTTTTGTTTGTTTGGTAAGAATCTGTTGGAAGCTTACCTGGTGAATGTGAAGACAGATCTTTTGACCACCTAATGTAGATCCAAAGATACGGACGGTAGGAACTTTCGAAAGTGGCGTGGGACTAAACGGGGTCGAGACACGATCCAAAGGACCGGTGGCTGACATGCAATAGTCCATATTGACAATGCGGACAGAAATCGTCATGTTGAATTCTCACAATTATGCAAAAGATAAAAAAAAAGAAAATAAATTTATTTGCGCAGTAGACCCGTAAAAATAAAATAAAAAAAAAAGGGCACGGTTCATGTGAGGGGGTGTCATACAGAATTTCACGCACCATTATTGGCAAAAAGATTTGTTCCCCGGATATCATTACGTAAGAAAAGAGAAATGTTGCTTCTCTCAATCATGAAGTACCAAGCTATCATATCACGGGCAAAAGTTGAGTGATATACAATAGTTAATGCATGTTTACAGACAAGAAAGGCTGAAATTTAATTTGACCATCATGCTCGACAAATCATAAATCTCATAAACTAAATGACCGGGCCATAAAGTATTAATCAGAATATAGTTAGGATTACCAAATGGAAGAATTATAAGTGTAGATAGAGTGATATAAATATATAGCCTCAATCAAGACAACCAATCTTTATTTAAAGTGGTAAAAATTTTGATATGGCTGATAGTTTTCCAATAATTTTAATGATTTGAGTAAACCAGCCATGAACTTATAGTTTAAATAAATTAGATCAGACTGTAAACAAAACAGGTATTTTACACTACCCTTTAACTCCTTGCTGCCATATATCCATCAAGATTAAACCTGATAAATTTCAATTTTCCTATTTTGGCGACGTTGGTCATGAAGGTGATGGGGGGGGGGTTCGTTGTTGTCGAGAGTCCTTCCTCTTCAACATACAATATAGTTAAAGCCAATGGGGTAGGAAAAGTGTAGTTAGTATTCTATGTAAAGAAAAGAAATTTACCTTCGGTCCAGATTAAATATGTATATGGGGCTATTTGCAGATATTTCTATTACAAGTAAAAGCTCAAACACTTGGCTGATTAAGTAAACAATTAAATTATCCTGACATAAACTAGGTTCTCGTTTAGCAGTCTATAAATAAAACTCGTCCTAATACTTTTTTGACAAAAACAATTAAGTCATCCTGACATAAGCCAGTTCTTGTTTATCAGTTTACATAAAACCCTCCCACGCCCTTTTGTTCTTTTCTTCTTCTTCTTTTATATCAATAAGAAGGTTAGTTAATAACGATTTTTCTATTCCAAAAAATGCTAAAACGTTACATCTTTTTTTTTAAAATGAAAAAGACATATTGCAGATTTTGCGATATTACGGCGGAGGCCAGTCTTCGCTACACGACGAGGACCCCCCAGTTTGGGTCCTCAGGTTTTGGCCGGGTTTGCTGTAAGTCATGTAAGTTATCATGACCATATTAAAATACATAAAAAAAGATCCGTGACTTAAAAAAAACGTAGGTGTAGACATTTCTTCTGCGCTTTGAACATGGAAAACTCGGGGCTGGAAGGTAGAAAAAAAAAAGCCTAAGGAATAAATAAATAAACTATTAACAGCTTTTGTGATTTTAATAGATCCCAAAGTAAAGAATTTGCGGTCTTCCGCCTTTGTGTCAAAACACAAGGAATCATTAACCTGGTTGGTCAATGGACATACAGGCCGATTCTATGAATGGGTTATATAGCGCATGGGCGAACCGCTACTCAGACGCTTACAAAGCTGTCAAAAACTCGACAAAAGGGTGAGTAATGAAAATTCAATAGAATTGAGCATTTATGTTCCTTAAACAGTTGAGTTGTGTTGATTTAGGCCACCTAAATCGCAAAGATTTAACAAGCTCATTTGGGAGGAACTCTTCTCTAGCTACACACGGAGGGTAAGCCCTATGCTTCTTTCTTTCTTTCTTTTTGTATTAACTTTTAAATAGAAAAAAGCTTTACACGTATATCAGGAAGAAGCAATCGACACACTTACTGCGGCTGCTGTTCCTGCTGCTGCCCAACTTAAACAATTAATTAAAACGACTCATAATGATGTGTCGAGTAGTTTCATACCTCCCGATGGGGATGAAAATGAAAATATCCAAGGCGAGTCATTGTCATCAGCAGCTTTGTCTTTGACACTGCATCCACCAGGTCCGAACAGACTTTGCATTGACAACATAGATATATCTGAAAGATTTTACAACCTACAGAAAGATGTATTTAACTTTGTATTAGACAATACATTGACGCTGGAATCTGATGTGCACCTTATCCTCTCATTATCTTCCATTTTATTGTTACAAAATAACAATCGCCTACACAAGACCATGATTCCGTTTTTCGGTAACAAGATTTACCAGAAAGTGCGACAAAGTATTCTTGACTCCCTGAATATGACATGCACTTTTCCCGGAGAAAATATGCTTACAATTATTCAAATTTTTCAAAGCGTATACATCAAGACTACAAGCCGAATAAGCGCAGCAGCCTCATTACTCACTCTGGCGGAAACGGCGGATGATCATTTAGATAAAAAAGCTCATTGCATCCGCATCACAGCTTCTCCAATGGTTGTTGGGAGAAACGGTCCACCGCAAGATCTTCCAATGGAATTCAAGATTCTGCCCATGGAACCAACGTATTCTGAGATACCTGAAACCAGGCTCATTGCACGATATATTCTACATGCAATCCAACCTTTATTTGACGATGATGAGCTGGATATAAAGTTGGATTTTACTTTTACTGAACGCGTTGATACCCAAAACCGAGAAATAAGTCTTGCTGGTTGTCCAGATTGTATCATCAGTATATATCCCCATCAAACGGACAATGCTATGAACCTAGGATATGGTGAGGTCAAGAAGCAATCGATGGCTGAAGACCACTATATGGTCAATTTGGATCTTGTTACTGTAGTTGAAGTATTATTTATGTATAATCTGAACTTTTGTATTTATGAAGTTCTGAGCCTGGTATAAATATCAGGTTTTATTCTATTTAATAAAGTTGTTATTTTTTTATGTCTCGTACTTTATACTAGTGATAACAGACTATATCATTTGTGCGAATCGCAACACTTTGGGCAAATATAGCCAATGAAAATAAGTTAAACCTGTATATATAAAACATGTCCTTTTTTATTGTTTACATATGCTTAAAAGGGGAAGGATGGCAAAGGTCTCTTTTCCCAGGTACTAGAGATTTTTCCACCGAAGAATAGTCTAGCAAAAATTAATATTGCGCTTCAATGTTAGTAGGTGTTAGATAGAAAGTTTGAATGCATTGAGTCCATGGTCACGTTAGGTTTCGTACTACAAATAAACGGATAAGACGAAACGCCCTGAGCTCGTAAACCTCTTCGTGTTTGTACTTTCATCGCTTTTAGCATCGTGTTGTAGAAGAAAGAAGATGGAAGAACTCTATGACTATTCTCGGCATAGATATTGTATTACTATAGGTAAGCGACTTATTTTTTTAAATTACGGCGTTGCTTACTTCGTATAGATTTGGGCTATGACATCATTACCTCTGGAGTGGTAGTCATTAATAGACCTACAAATATTGTTGAAAGGTTAGTCGACATCAAATCAGCAGAATTTACATGTTTTTTGACAGAGATTCCTTTTTATCAAAAGATTTGAAAACAAATACTGTACCTCAATTTTATATGACACTATCACCAGAAGGGTCATTACCAGAGGTAAATTGGCCGATGAAGCGAATGAGAATTCGAAAGAGCTTCAAGAAGGCGTTATTTATGTACGAAACACCTTAAGCGCGCTCACTGACATTTATTTAAAACCCAAGCAACAATCTTTCGATAATACGGCACTGTACGCGCTCTTGTACGAGGAAGCTATGGACCTTTTACAAAAAATACTGGATCATTATAAAGAAAAGTTGAATAGTGTAAATACGGATTTTTATTATTCTTTGATTCTTCCAACCAGTTGGGATTATAAAGCAAGAGAAGAATTGTTCCTGCCTCTATTCGTAAAAGCTGGTCTTTTCCATGAAGATGATGGTCCAGGCAGGCTGCTGTTTTTTTCAATGTTAGAGGTAATCTTTCAGAACATGCAGATGGATAAAGGACTCTATTGTGGTTTAGAATTAAAGCATAACGAGCAGCGCGTTATGGGTACAATAGAATATCAAGGTGCATACTCCGTGGATTTGAAATTGGTATCAACTCAATATCCTTCTTTCAGATTAGCAAAAAGAAAATTGGTGCCACAATTGTTGAAACAAGCTCATTTTGTAATCCCGTTTGGACTAAAGGAACTACGATTGTCATTAATAGCGTGCGTGGAAAAGCATTGTGCTACTACGTTATCATCAGAATCTATCGACGACATGCTTGAAAAACTCAGTCAAAAGTACGATGGAGTTAATGTTTTCGTAAGAGTTAATGAAAAGGAAATTGTGAAAACAATTAAAAACATTTTTTTTTTTTGTTTTGCCAGAAAATCAAAAGTGATGATTTATACGATCAGCCATTGTCAGACTTGAAATCTCGCTGGACGAATAGATTAATCTATTTAGAGGACATACTTGAACATTTTTCTTGTTCTTTCGAAAAATTCTTTAGAAATGAAGTAGACAAACTTCTTGTAGGCACGAGTAATATAGCACCCAGGTCATTGGACATTTTTTACACAAATCGAATTCCCAGAACTTTTTTAGCTGTAGGGTTAATTTTATCGGTTGATTGTTTATCGAAAAAGTATTTCTGGGAACTTAGAGAATCTTACACGTTAACAAACCTCCGTGGTGATTCCCCCAATTTCAGACTCTTTAACCATCCTATCCGAAGAAATGCAACTATACAGCTTTTGGAAAACCGAATGGAAGAATTTAACGTGCGCAGAAACCCAACTATACTACCCAGCAAAACAACATTGGAAGAACCCAAAATTTGCTTAAAGCCTATTATCTTCATTAATATCGGTAAATTGAATTCTAAGTGATATCGGCTTCGTATTAACCTAACCTATTTTGAAACAAACAGACATATCGCTTACACAACTCCAGACTGTTTTTACATACCTGGATGAAGATAGGCAAGTTGGACAGAAGCAAAATTTTAAATAGTAATGGTGATAGGCGTCAAAATATCTTTTATAAGAAAATCCAACTAAGTTCCATTTTATTGCATAATAGTAAAATGCAACCGTTGAATTGTTTCATCAAGCAATTAGAAATATATCAAAGGCCAGTACTACATATATCAAATAGGTAATGTTACTTAAAGAAACGCTTATGATTATCAATTCTAATTGTACGTTTAGACTGAAATTAGGTTTAGAAAAGATTTTTGGTGACTATCTTGAATTATACTCAAGTTACGAAAGAAATGTGAAAAGAGGAGTGCTGGTGAACCAAGTATCCAAATTACTTGGCCAAGCATCCCGAAAAATGCAGAGGAGAAGTATTTTAAGCAATGATGAGTGGATAAAATCCAGTAGAAATCGACAAAACGAAATCAGGAAATTATTTGTTTCTTCACAACCAAACTTATTTGAACAGCTTACGGCAAACCTTAAAGTAGAAAATCTCTTTGTGTCGAAAGATAAATTTTGGAGTTCGGATAGCGAGCCATTCACTACTTATCATCCAGGTTATATATTTTTTTTTGTGATCACATATTTGCATTGCCTCAACAAGCAAATAGAGGAAGCATTAAATATTAATTTGGGAAACAGCTCGAAAGCTTACAAGACTTGGTACGGCGTCTCTATTGATAAAAACCTATTAGATACTGTATTCGGCTCAATAAAGAAATTGGAAAAATCTTTCTTTGCAAGTGGAATACTCGGGAAGGACGACGAACTTCCAAAAGCAAAATTTTGTACCCGTGGTGAAGAAATTCTACCATCTTTACAACACATGTATCAACATTTGGATTTTAGGTTGAAGTCGTTCTTTTTTGTCGCACAGATATATTCAAAGCATATTCAACTCAGTTTGCATCAAGTTGTCAAGCTGGCATCACCCGAAGAAGATCTAGCGTCCATCATTATTCAAGATGAAATGATACATATTCATGATGTATATGATACACTCTGCAAACGTATCATGAAGAGCATACAATTCAATTGTCGAGTTGACTATTGTACTACGCATAAGTACGGGGAAGATATGCAATATGATTTCCATTCATTTCAGATATATAGCAATATTTATCGAAATTTAAAACCATGCGTTGTTGAACTTGTAAATTGGTATAACTATAACTAGTGTCTCAATTTATTAATTACGCCTTGTTAGTTGGAAAAAAACAAATCAAATTTGGATATGAATTCCAAAATACAGCTGGATATCAACACGAAATGTGATTGCAGTGTTAGCATATTTCTTCGTGATGTTATTGAAGTAGGCCTTATGTCAGTGATAGAAAGTATAACATTAGATGTAGTTTCTTCTTTGACAAACAAAGAGATATTTGGAAACTATGTACCGAATTATATATTTGTGTTTGGAGACCCGTTTAATCTGGCGCAGGGTTCAAAGATCCACATCACATACACCATGATTATGCAGAAGGCAATCGACGACGGCTTATATTCTAAAGAAAAAGATACGAAGGCATTTATACTGAAAGAATCAATTTTTCAATTACTGAATCCGCTTGTACCTAAAAGAAAACCCTATATGTTTGAAAGGTTTGTCACTGGAACTTTGTGCCAAGTATCAAGCAAAACATATGGCATGCGGGTCGATCTCAATGGGTTCTTTCCTTTCATCAGAATAAACAGTAGTGGTGATATCAAAAATACGATTGCAGAAGATGGTAGTTATTTGGTATTTATTCAGAAAGGGAAGCCAGTTTCAACAAAGAGTTTCAGAATTCAAATTGATAGAAGATACAGTTAGTTTGTTGCCATTTCTTTTTTTCTTCTTCTTTTGTACTGATGGGACCCACTTTTACTTAGACAACGATATTTTTTTGGGCATTCTTCAGTTAGATAGTTCAACTATCACTGTTCCGGAAAAGTATGCTCTATTGCAAGGTGGTACTTCTGGTGTGACTTATAACACAGGCTGCTTTTGCTTATCGTATGGTCATATCCGAAATTTGGCTGTAGAATGTAAGCAGATGAGCAATCATTTATCTATCAAATTATCAAGAGGATGCATGGGCTATAGTGATGACTATATTGATAAACCTTATTACAGAACCGTAAATTTCATCGAGCCATTGACACTCGCTTATATTTAACATTCACTGCTTCAATAAAATCAACCTATTTTTAAACCACCGTTTTAAACCTACGTGACTTCCAATTTTAAAAAATCCCCCTTCACTCTCCCCCGACCCCCCCCCCCCAGGGACACAATGGGCCCCTTTTTTTAAAGAAGAAACACTTTTTCATAAACCATGCCTTTTGGATTAAAAGTACCTTCCAAGAACACACTGATTTTTAGTGGTGTTGCAGGTGGCATTGCAGGTCTTGTCTATTCTAGTAATAAATATGCCCAAGATGCCAGAACAAGATTTTCTCAACGAGTTTCTTTTCTCGCTGACAGACCTTGTGGTGTCCATGTAAGTCTTTTCTTTTCTGTGATCTCTCTTTCTTGTCCTCACCCCATAAGAAACTAGGAAATGCCTCGTAAAGTCACAGTGTATATTACTGCACCACCTGGTGATGGACTTGAAAAGAGTCGAACTTGGTTTCGTGAATATGTCAAGGTAATATAATACGCCAACCCACCGACATGTATAAAAAAATAAACTGACACTCTTTACTTGCTACAGCCTATTCTTGTTGCAGGTGCTGTCGATTACGAAATTAAAGAAGCTAAATCACCTGGCCAAATCGAAACTTCTGTCATGGAAGAAATTGTTCAATGTCGTCGCAAAGCCGTCGAAGCAGCAGCCAATGCAGAATCAACCGACCATGAACCATTAGAAAACAAGTCTAACACAGGTCTAACATCACCTGTGGAGAACATGTACAACAAGAAGAAAAAAGAAAAAAGAAGTGGTATCAGATGGTATTTTGGCGATTGGTAGAAATACGTATCGTGAGGTGCTTGGTGGATTAGTCAAGGAATGACATACTATTCTTGCTGTGTTTGTAGAGGTGCGTCTTCTTGAAGTGGAAGGACATAAAGAAGACAAAGGATGAGACATCTTTTATTGCAGAGGAAACCTTGGAAATGTTAAAACCCACATCATTTAAGACTTTGACAGTTTTTCGCTTCCGCTTGAGTTTTCACATGTCGTGGATATCCCCGGGTGAACATGTATCTTTAATTATAAATGTATTTGGAAGCAGGAAAATACTCTGTAGATGCTGTATTGAACCAAACCGACATTTAAAGAGTGGGTACGGATTTATAGCAAGAAGAAAAAATAATATTGTATTAGACATGATATACCCGAAATATTGAAGAAATAGATATGCTAATTCAAGTAGATACAAGTATTTTTGGTAAGTTGGTGTATGTGTTAATGTTAATTTGCGTTAAATAAAGTGCGAGATATATGTAAACGATGTCTTTTTTTATTTGTTCCCATATACTTAAAGGGGGAAGGGAAAACGAAGGTCTCTTTCCCCAAACACTAGAGATTTTTTCACCGAAGAGTAGTCTAGCAAAAGCTAATATCGCGCTTCAATGTTAGTGGGTGTTAGATAGAAAGTTTGAATGCATGATTTACCCCGTCATTGAATTCATGGTCACATAAGGTTTCGTGCTACAAATAACGGATTAGATGAAACGCCGTGAACTCATAAGCCTCTTCGTATTTGTGCTTTCGTCGCTTTTAGCATCGTGTTGTAAAAGAAAGAAGATGGAAGAACGCTATGACTATTTTCGACATAGATATTGTATAAATATCGGTAAATGACTTATTTTTTTAAATTACAGCATTGCTTACTTCGTATAGATTTGGGCTATGACGGCATCACCTCTGGAGCGGTAGCCATTACTAGATTTACAAATGATGATGAAAGGTTAGTCGACATCAAAACAGCAGAGTTTATACGGGGGGGGGTTACTGAGATTTATTTTTAAAAAAAGTTTTGAAAACAAATACCGTACCTCAATTTTATATGACACTACCGCGAAAAATATCATTGCCAGAGGCGACAAGGCTGATGAAGCGAATAAGAATTACAAAGGGTTCCAAGAAGACGTTATTTATGTACGCAATATTTTAAGCGAGCTCACTGCCATTTATTCGAAATCCAAGCAACAATCTTTCGATAATACGGTACTTTACGCGCTCGTGTATGAGGAAGCTATAGACCTGTTACAAAAAATTCTGGATCGTTATAAACAAAAACTGAATAGTGTAAATATGGATTTTTGTTATTCTTTGAATCTTCCAACTAGTTGGGATTATCAAATAAGAGAAGAATTGTTCCTGCCTCTATTCGTAAAAGCTGGTCTTCTCCATGAAAATGATTGTCCGGGCAGGCTGGTGTTTTTTTCAATGCTGGAGTTAAATTTTCAAAACATGCAGATGGATACACGTACCCGTCGCGGTTTAAAATTAAAGCATAATGGTCAGCGCGTTATGTGTACAATAGATTATCAAGGCACATACTCCGTGGATTTGAAATTGGTATCAGCTCAATATCCTGCTTTCAGATTAGCAAAAGGATACTTGGTGCCACAATTGTTGAAACATGCTCACATTGTCATCCCATTTGGACTAAAGGAAGTACGTTTGTCATTAATAGCATGTGTGGAAAAGCATTGTCGTACTACGTTATCATCAGAATGTATCGACGACATGCTTGCAAAACTCAGTCGAAAGTACGATGGATTTAATGATTTCGTAAGAGTTAATGGAAAGGAAATTGGGAAGACAATTAAAAACATTTTTTTTTGTTTTGCCAGGATACAATAAGGGATGTTTTGTACGATCGGCCATTGCCAGACTTGAAATCTCGCTGGACGAATAGACCAATCCATTTGAAGGACATTTTTGAACATTTTTCGGGTTCTGCCGAAAAATTCTTTAGAAATGAAGTAGATAAATTTCTTGTAGGCACGAGCAATCTGGTTCCCAGGCCATTGGACATTTTTTACACAAATCGAATCCCGAACATTTTGTTTACTATGGGGCTAATCTCATCAGTTGATTGTTGGTCGAAAAAGTATTTCTGGGAACTAAGAGAATCTTACACAATAGCGGAGCTCGGTGGTGATTTCCCCATATCCGAAGTCTTTGACTATCGTGTCCGAGGAGATGCAATTGTACAGCTTTTAGACAACCAGATAGAAGAATTTAACATGCGCAGAAACCCAGTTATACTACCCAATGAAACAACAATTGAACAATCCAGAAGTTGTTTAAAGCCTATTATTTTTATCAATATCGGTAAACTGACTTCATAATAGTAGTTATTGACTTCGTATTAACCTATTTTGAAACTAGACAGACATATCGCTTAGACAGATTAAGACCGCTTTAACATGCCTAAATAAAGATAGACAAGTTGAACAGATGCAAAATATTGAATGGTAATGGGGATTGACAGCAAAATATCTTATATCTAAGAAAATTTAAACTAAGTTTTGTTTCATTGTATAACAGTGATATGCAATCATTGAATAATTTTATCAAGCAATCAGAATTATATCAAAGACCGATACTACGTATATCAACTAGGTAAAGCTACTTGAAAAAACTCTTGGTATTGTCAATCCTAATTATACGTTTAGATTGAAGTTAGGTCTAGAAAAGGTTTTTGGTAACTGTCTTAAAAGGTACTCAAGTTACAAACGAAATGTGAAAAAAGGAATACCAGCGATCCCAGCATCGAAATTACTTGGCCGGGCTTTCCTAAATATGCGAAGGGGAAGTACTTTAAGCAGTGATGAATGGATAAAATCAAGTAGAAATGGACAAAAGGAATTCAGAAAATTATTTTATTCCTCAAATTCAAATCTATTTGAACAACTTACGGCAAACTTTGACATGGATGATCTTTTTGTGTCGAAAGACAAATTTTCAGCTTCGGATAGCGAGTCATTTACTACATGCCATCCAGGTTACATGTATTTTTTTATGATGACATATCTGCACTGTCTCAACAAGCAAATGGAGGAAAAATTAGAAGGTGCTGTAGGAACGAATTGGCGAGCCAACAACGTTTGGTATGGCGTCTCTATTGACAAAAAGTTATTGGATACTGTATTCAACTCAATAAAAAATTTGAAAAAATCTTTCTTTGGAAGTGGAATACTCGGGAAGAACGACGAACTTCGAAAAGCAAAATTCTGCACCCGTGGTGAAGAAATTCTACCAGCTATTCAACACAAGTATCAGCATTTGGACTTTAGGTTGAAATCATACTTTGTTGTTGCACAGATATATTCGAAGCATATCCAACTCAGTTTGCATCAAGTGGTTAAACTGGCATTACCCGGAGAAGATCCAGCCTCCATCATTATTCAAGATGAAATGATACATATCCATGATGTATATGATACACTTTGTAAGAGTATTATGAAGAGCCTACAAATTAATTGTCAAGTTGACTATTGTACCACACACCAGAGTGAGGAAGACACACAATATGATTTCCAATCATTTGAGATATATAGAAATATTTATCGAAATTTAAAACCATGCGTTGTTGAACTTGTAAGTTGGTATACCTATAAATAACGTCTCAGTTTATTGATCACTTCTTGGTAGTTGGAAAAAAATAAATCAAATTTGGACATGGATTCCAAAATACAGCTGAATATCAACACGGAATGTGGTTGCAGTATAAGCATATTTCTTCGTGATATTATTGAATTAGGTCTTATGCCAGTGATAGAAAGTTTAGCAACAGATATAGTGGCTTCTTTGACCAACAAAAAGTTGTTTAGAAACTATGTACCGAATTATATTTTTGTGTTTGGAGATCCGTTTAATCTGGAGCAGGGTTCAAAGATCTACATAGCATACACCATGATTATGCAAACGGCAATCGACGACGGCTTATATTCTGAAGAAAAAGATGCGAAGGCATTTATACTAAAAGAAACAATTTTTCAATTATTGAATCCGCTTGTACCTAAAAGGACACCCAATATGTTTGATAGGTTTGTCACTGGAACTTTGTGCCAAGTATCAAGCGAAACATATGGCATGCGGGTCGATCTCAATGGGTTCTTTCCTTTTATCAGAATAAACAGTAATGGTGATATCAAAAATACGATTGCTGAAGATGGTAGTTATTTAGTATTTATTCAGAAAGGGAAGCCAGTTTCAACAAAGAGTTTCAGAATTCAAATCAATGATACAATGTGTTAGTTTGTTGCTCTGGATTTTCCTTCTTTTGTACTGAATATGACCCACTTTTACTTAGATAAACCTACCATTTTAGACATTCTTCAATTAGATAGTTCAACTAGTAATGTTCCGGAAAAGTATGCTCTATTGCGCGACGGCACTCCTGGTGTGACTTATAACATAGAATGCTTTTGGTTATCGTATAATCATATCCGAAATTTGGTTGTAGAATATCACCAGATTAGCAATAATTTATCAATCAAAGTATCAAGAGGATGTCTGGGTTATGCTGATGACTACATTAATAATCCTTATTACTCAACCCTAAATATCCTCGAGCCATTGACACTCGCTTATATTTAACATATCACTGCTTCCAATAAAATCATACCTGAGTATCCGCACCTGCTTTAAACCACCATTTTAATTACATGACTTTCAATTTAAAAATTCCCCTTCAATCTCTCAACCTCAGGGACACAATCCTTTTTTAAGAAACGCTTCTATATTAAAAGTCTAAGTTAGGACACACTTAAGCGATACCGGAGTACAAAAAAAAGGCTGTGTAAATCGCTTGCATTTAGAATAATAGAGTAGTAGTGACAGAGCATCTGTTCCAGTTGTATTCATTGATTTTATGTTAATACAAATGTGAGCAGATACATATAAAGAAACCTTATATTATGTACTGATGAATCAGATTCATCACCAATTTTTCTATAATTTCATTGGCGTGTTCGTAATACTTTGAACTAGGTAGCAGGTAAATGCAAGCGTAATATGTATATGCAATGTCTATGGCTCTTTAGATGATCTTTAAGCTGGCCGCATCTTTCTTACTTAGGACGGCGAGTGTTGCAAAGATTTAATTCTGATCAGAGATGTATCTTGTGTAGTAATTATAATTACTTCTTTTTATTTGAATATATAATCCAAATTTTTCCTTAAGAACAAAGTACGTCTAGTCACATCGTATGATCGTGATTATTGGTTGAGTGCTTAAGATTTTTTAGAAACAAGTGCGTTTTCAATAAATAATTGTTACCTGATAGAAGTATACTGAAAGAAATATTCCTCAACCGCTTACCCTACTAGGGCTCGTTTGATCTAAACTTTGGCAGAAATCTAGAGGAGAGGTCGCAAGTAGAATAAATCACACACAGCCAAGAACGTCATACATGTCATCAAATTGGTCACAGCTTCTTGTGGCTCGTCTTGTTATGACTATGCAAATAGCAAACAACAGAGAATCTTATTTGCATCCTTGAATAATATAAAGTTTATAATGCTGGTTTTAGTCTACAAGATTTTGTGGGTGTTTGTCATTGTAATCAAACGCTCCGGGTAGTGATTTTTGTCCTTGGGGTAACCTCAGCTATCAGGTTAATTTGTTGTATAGATAGTCTAAAAGCCTAAAAACTGGGAAAAGAAAAAATTTCTGCATAATTTTTACAACAAACAAACAAAAAGTCTTTATTATTTCTTCTCGGCAAGGTCAAAATGAAGACCTGCTTGAACACGTAAATTACCCACAACACTAGACAAATCATAATTTCCATGGTTTTCCAACACCTCATCGGCATTTTTCAAAAAGGCCTCTGTGATGGGTAACTTGGCACCCGAATCTTTGGCCAATTGTACAATATGGGCAACATCTTTTTTAGCAGTGGTGATAGGAAACGCGATCTCATCCTTGTACGTGTTCTTCAACATACGATCGGCATAGACACCCATTAACGAATTAGGGAACACAGCATCCAAGAGCTCCTTCACCTTATCTTGTCCTACACCAGATGCCTCTCCCAACGTCATTCCCTCCGCTACCATCTCAACCACAGATGTGACGAAATAATTACCACACAACTTCAATCTCAAGGATTCAGCTACATCCTGTAAGCCCAGCTCAATCACTTTTTTACCTACCACAGGGATCAATAAAGGTAACACCTTACCGCGAATTTCGGCGGATTCACCACCTGCCATTAACACGGTCAAATCACCCGATTTCGCCTTGATAGGGGGACCCATCACGGGACAAGCTAAATAAACAACACCAGCCTCCTTGGCTTTGGCAGCATACTTTTGAGCCAATGCAGGACTGATGGTAGATTGTTCTACCAGGATGGTATCGGTCTTTAAAAGGGGGATTAAAGTGTCCAAGGTCTCGATCACGGCAGCATCATTCAAGAGACAGGAAAAGATGATGTTGGCGGTAGCCACTTGATCGAGGGAAGAAGCGACGGTGACGGGATGTGTTTGAGCTAAAGCTTCGGCGCGTGCTTGAGTACGGTTGAAAGCCAAAAGAGGTGGACAACCTAAAGAAGATAATTTTTGTGCGATATGACCGGCCATGGCGTTACCCATTGCGCCTAACCCGATATATGCGCATTGAACAGTAGGAGACATTTTTTTTGTGTGTGTGTGAGTTGAAAGAAAAGAAAGATAAAGAAGAAAAAGAAAATATAAAAAAAAAGAGTGGGTGTTTATATAGGTTTTTTGTGTTTTCTGCAACGCGAGAGGGGGACTGTTATGCTTACTTTGATGCAGTAAGACATGACTAAGAGCTGACATGAATTTATATGTTTTTTTTTTTATTTTTAAAAAATTACTAGTAATACAACATTTGACCAATCAAATGTTAAACGAGGGGGCGTGTGTGTGTGTGTGATTTATAACAAATTTTTGTTTTGTGTGTTTAAAAAAAAAAAAGAAAAGAAAAAAAAAGAAAGCAAAAAAAAAAAAAAAGCAATAGTTTTTTTTTTTTGCGTGTGGTATATGAGGTGGGGGGTGACAATAGAGAGTGGCATAACATAAGAGGGAAATAATAATTAATAGGAAAAAAAAATGTCATAACGTAAATGAAAAAAGAAAAAGATTTACAATACACCTACACGAGACGACTTTTTACCAGACATCAGGTTTTTAAAACTCTTCCACATTTTACGCACGGTGGTCACTGGTGGTGCTACTGTTGGTGCTTCTTCTGTTGTTTCGGTTGGCTTATTCTTCTTTTGTACAGAAGCTGGATCATCTTTCTTTAAGGTTGAAGGTAAAGGTTGTACTTTGCTAGAGCCTGTAGCCATCTTCTTTTTAAAGGAAGCAAACAAAGATTTCTTGGGTGCCTTGGGATGGAGGGTATCATCTTTTGCTGTGGGTGACTTTTTAGCTGGTGCTTCGTCTCTAGTAAGTGATACATGACGCCACGTTTTTGGGAATATCCGTGCCGAAAGTGATTTCGTCTCCGCCTTTATTTTCGATGCTGCTGCTACTACTGGTGGTGTCTGTGGTGGTGATGGCGCTTTTTTCAATAATGATGATGATGATGATAGTGGTGGTGGTGGTTGAGCTGATGAGGATGGTTGCTTCCAAAGAGCTCTGGAGGCGAATTCAGAAGCACGCGACTTGAATGATTTCTTTGTGGCATTGGGTTTTGTCACATTAACAGCCACGGGTTGAAAGGGAGCTTTCGAGGAGGAGGAGGAGGACTCGAAATGACCGATGGTTGCACCAACCATACCTGTAGAATGCTGTCTCTCCTGTTGCAATTTACTAGGTAGGACAAGGGGAGATTTTTTCTTGTTGGAAAACATGTCCTTGATGGACTGAACCGTGCCCTTTTTGATTTCCAGCCGCTGTAAACTATTTGGATTGCTGGTGGTAGGGGATAAAGGATCATTCGATGAAGAAGATTCGGGTAACTGAAAAAGGGATCTGATGGAACGCACGGTGCCACGTTGTATTGTACTCAGGATGGAAGATTGTTGACTATAAGAAGACTCTGTGTCTCTCTTCAATCTCTGTGTGGAAAATGATGTTTTACTGGACTGCAGCGAGGCGGATCGATTTAATAATAAAGAGGAAGGGGAGACCCTTGCTACATCGCGCGGATCTGCTTCCGCAATGGGTAAGAAATGGTCGTCGTTGTGGAACGGAAAGGCCAGAGGTCTCGGACAAGAATAAACGAGATCGGGTTGCCGAGGAGGTTGATTTTGCCTCTTTTGTTTCTTTTTCTTTTGCTCTACGGGTGCTATGGTTGCCTGTATATCTTTGGTAACTATATTTTCTTCTTCGCCGTCGTCAGTCACATGACTGATACTGGTATTGGGCGAACTGGTGGATGATGAAGACGTGTATCCACTATCTGCTCCTGAAATCTCGGATTCTAAAGAAGTGCGTTTTTTTTTTTGAAGAATGGCTTTCTTTTGTGAACGAACAAGGTACTGTTCGTGTCTAGAGCCAGAAGAGTGAAACATCACACTTTGGCGGCTGCAAAAAAAAAAAAATTAAATGAAAAAAGTAAAGGAGAAGAGAGCAAAAGGGAAAAAAAAATTAAAGTAAAAGAGGGAGTTTAAGGAAAAGTAATTTTTTTTTTTTTTAATTTTTTTGCACCAACCACTTTTATTTATCGTGACACAGAAAGATTGCTATTATAAAAAGAGCCCCCGATTTTAATCCAATCTTTCGTAATAATGCGGATTTCCAATGAATGAAGCCAGAAGCATAGAGAAGGCTAGTATGACACTGATACACCACGAAGCTGAATTCATAATGAATGATTGATCGTACTTGGTTCCTGAATAAAATATGGAACTTGTATTATACAAGTACGCAATAATCGAAAAAGACACTATCGAAGGCACAGCTTATAATATTATACAAAACCTTAATTTCTTTTTTTTTATATAAATCACTCCATTTCTTTTATACAACTTACCAAATAGCACAAGCATTCTAAATTGATTAAAAAAACGTGAAAAACCATTCTCGTTGTGTGACCTCTCACACACTTTTTTTTTTTTTGTTACCCTGATACCAGCTTCCATCCTCTCTCTCTCTTCTCTCGATTACTGCACATCACGCCCAATAAAGCAACGATGGTTAATGTACCAACCACTGCGCCAAGTATCATGCCTGCTCCTGCAGCCTGCCTTTTTTTTTTTTGTGTGTATGTAAAAAAAATAAAAGGATGATCAATTTTTCGTTCGAGATAAAATGTTAAGGTGATAATTACCACAGCTGACAAAACCCTTCTTCTTTGTTATAAATATGAATAACCACACAGAAAGATTAAAAAAAAAATATGTTTGTTTATTTCTATTTTACCTTGTGTACAATCACTAGGACCAGGAAATGGTCTGCATTCACCCGTGAGACTATATGTTTTTTATAAAAATAAGATGATGCTACAATTTTTTTTTATTTTTTACCCACACTGGGCTATAAAAAAAAAAGAAAGATTTACCTTGAACATAATTTGAACAGACCATAATTCGTTTCAGAGTAAGATGGTTTTGGAATGATACGAGTTAACCTTGATATAAACCCGGATTTTTAATATATATTTTTTTTTAAACACACGTTTTTTTAACTATCGCTGTGTTACCATTTGGGCAAGAACAAAGCGGTCAAATTTAAAGCGTAGCTGCAACAAAATAAAAAGAACACCACCACGTAACCTAACAAGGACATTTTAAAGGGAGAAAAAGAAACAAAAAAAGAAACAAGTTTCATCTTCTTCTCTCTTCACCTTAAAGCCTCCTGCAAACAACCAAAAAAAAAAATAAAGTTGAATTCAATTGGATTAAAATAAAAAGTCACCTTTTTCTCAACACTTTAGAAATTTATCAGAAATTTATCGGTCAAAAGGGACGCTCCTCATAGACAAGGTCTCCCTTAATTGACCCCCACTAATTTTATAAATTTCTATAAAAAAAAAAGAAAAAAGGCTGAGCGATTTTTGCTATCAAGCAGTCCTTCTTCTTCTTATTTATTCATATGCAAACCTTAAGTGCATTCCTTTCCTCCATTGCATTAGAGCAATACCATGCTGCTTTTCTGGAAGCAGGCGCTACCGACGAGGACCTGTCTCAACTTGTGGCTTTCAACGACACCGAGCTTTCTGAATTTTTGTCGGCACTTGATATGTTGCCTTTTCATTCCATCAAATTCAAAAAATGTCTACGAGAGCTCAAACCACCACCACTCGTCGCACAAGACATCATGGTAAGTCCCCTTTCTCTCAGAGATTTTATCTTTAGAGACTAACACCTCAATAGACAGAATTACCTTCCACTCGTGAGTTTATCTTATCGCATGCTACCATCTACGGCAAGAAAAAGAACAGGCCCTTGACATCCTATGAAGAAGCCATCAACCGCGCTTCACTCGATCTCGCCCTGGAAAATCCTGTGCTGATTTCGAAAAAGGGCCGTCTTTTTGACATGGCTAAGCAAAAACTACTGGATTCCGGTTATCATTATAAGCGAGGAAGCAGTCGATCCAAGCTCAAATCTCAAGCTGTGCACCCCGCAGGGTGTTCTGAAAAACTTATGTTGGCCAAACGAGAAGAAAACGCTCAACGTATGTCCGACCATCGATTAGCGAAAATGGAACAATTACAAATCCAAGTGGATTATGCTTTACAATCACGACAACGCATTGAAAATCAGCTGGCAGCCACTGCTGACAGTGGATTTTCATCCCATCAACGTCATATAGCACTAAAGACGGATTTGGCGCGCTTTGAAGACATCAAGATTAAACTATCCAAAGAACTAAGTCAATTAAAAGCTCAAGAAAGAAAACATCAATGGTATAAACGACGCAAGTTGGAGAAACACAATTTATCACAGGATGAAGGTTTTTCCTCTCAAACGTCACAAGAAGAAGAAGAGGAAGAAGCACATCCTTCTGCTTTCACAGCGTTTATTTCTTCACAGGAATCTACAAGTAGTGTTATGACGTGTTCAAGAACAAGCGATGTGAGAGCAAGTTCCATCTCAGACTATGACCGATAAAAAAATAATAAAGATAATATATATATATTTTTGAATACCCCCTCCATTTATTATTATATATATAATTATGAATGATATTCCAAGGGCACTAAAAAGTCAGCACCCCAAGGAATGGTATTTCCCTTGATGCCGACCCGTTTCCAACATAATCGGGGTATACCTATATCCACAAGGAATAACTCACCCGTCACACGTAGTGATTTACATCCCGACTTGGGCGCACCTAAACATAGCGTCCATTTGGGTCGAATCACATGTTGTTCAGCATAAAGAGCTGTTCCCGTACTAGCATCTACACCAGTGGGGAAATCCACTGAGAGTACAGGTTTATCTGTCTGCTCATTCACCCAATCCACAGTTTTACATATAATATCACAGTCAGGACTTTCTGCCAGATTATCCTCTGCACCCAAAATAGCATCCACTATAAAATCTGCTTCACCCAATTCCAGAATATCATACACTATAATCACACCGAATTTCTTGGTCATGGATTCATGGCGTTTCATAGCAGCTGTTAAAGGTTGTTCTGTAGAGATACAGACCGTGACAAGACAACCATGGTTAATTAAGTGACGTGCTGCAATTAATCCACTACATCCATTCTTGTTATTTCCTACCAAGATCACAATGGAGGGAGAAACCACGTCCATTTGACTGAGCAACTGTAATAATAAAAAGGAGGTACCTCTGCCTGCATTTTCCATGGCCAACTCATCAAAGGCAGGTGAGGCTTTGGTACATTCGTGTAGAACATGTGCCATTTGAGCTGGAGAGACAGAAGGACAGTGGATACCAGAATAAGAGGTAAGGATACGTGTTGGTTTTTTGACGTGTGATTTCCGTCTTCTACTGTGACGATGGGTGGTGTATTCATCGGGTGTTTGAGAATCATTATCACTTTCATCCCCAAGATCATCACTGGTTGTTTCATTGTAAGGAGTGCGTTCAACCGAGAGAACGTTTTCGGTAGGCAGTAAATTAACTTTTTGTGGTAAGCGATTGAGTGTCACTAAGAGTTCCTCGGGTGCCGTCTCATCCGACTCCTATTTATTTATTTTTTACCACGGGTTTAAAAAACAAAGTGGGGTATACACGCTTTATGTTGATAGTCAACTTACTCGTATTTCGGCAAAGACTTTTGCTTTGTCAAACATGTCTAGGTTCTTTTGAAAATCAAATTCTTCTTCTCTAAATATATTTACATCCTCGCCTGCCCATCCATCCGCTGGTATCTGTCGTTTATTTGTGCGTAAAGGAGCTTGTTTGATTTTTCGACCTAAGACAATCCATTCCATTTTGTTTGTTAGTTTTTTCAAAAAAAAGTGCATGTTATAAATTTATATGTATGTACTTTTGGATTTGGAGGGCGTCAATATCTAGTGAAACAAAGGCAATAGGTTAGTACATGGGCCATAAGACGTAGAGTTGCGTGCTACCTTGGCTTGTATGACAAGTGGAGGTGGAGGGTCTTGTTCAAGTACATGGTTATCTAAAGGTGTGTATGCTTGTTGTTGTTGTTGTATTGGTGGTGGTTGTTGTTGTTGGGTTGTACTGCTAGGTGTGGAGATAATTTGCAAGTCCTTGATATCCTTTCCAACCACACCATACAGAGGAGTGCTAAAAGGTGCTTGACCAAAGAGAAACAGGGTCACTTTTGATGGGGAAAGGGATGAGTATGTATTCAATATGGGTTCATGGGTAAGAAGATGAACTCACCATCTTTTAAAGTCATCTGTTGCGTGGAGGGTTCAATATGAGAAACAACACCTTCCAGTTTAATGCCAGAGTGTAATAAAACCGATACTTTATAGCCTAGAAAAGCCTCTGCCATTGTAGTTTTTGTAAAAAATGTTATAAAAGAAGAGAGAAAAAGAAGAGAGAGAAAAAAAGATGTGAAATAAAAAAAATAAAATAAAAAAGTGTGTGTGTAGGTTTTTACAATGTCCGTCTCACACACACTCGTTGTTTGCTAGGTATAAAAACTTTTTTTTTTCTGTCGCTTATTTTCCCTTCCCTCTTCTCTCTCTTTCCCTTGAATAAAAAAGCTTTTTTTTTTTTTTTATAAAGAATGGATTTCAGTTCGTTTAATCTAGAAGGTGATGGTCATGTGTTTAAACAAGACTATGACCATGATGGAGATAATGACTTTTTTAACTTTATGGACGACACTTCCGCACCCAGCAACAATACGACCTTTGAAAACGGAAGCTTCACTCCAACCGTCACTACGGCCCATAAAAGTCCCAGTCATTTCAATACCGGTGTGTTGGCAGGACAAGCACAAAATACAACAGACTACGTCATGTCACCACTTCAAATCGCTCCTCAGCATGCCATGATGCAATCCTACCACACTCCTTTACAACATCCTCTGCACGTCGAAGAGTTTGCGGATGAAGAGGTAAAATGTCTGCACACATAATAAAAGAGAGTGAGAGTGAGAGAGAGAAATACTCACATATAATATTAGGAGTTCTTTACGCCACTGGTATCACCGGCCATGGCACCCACCTACGATAACAATTATTTAATGGGTATGAATAACAACGCACAAATCTTTTCACCACTTTCTTCTCCGGCGTTACACCCATCACCTAGCAGCACAAACGGAAGCGATTCCACCACTCTGCAACAAAAGCTTGCATTTATCGAACGACAACAACAGCAATTACGCAATATGCACAACCAATTACGACCAAACGCCTCTCCCGATCCCAATAAGAAACCACTCAAGAAACTGTTGCAGTCACCACGACCCTTTGTCATGCCCAAATCCAAATCAGATAGTCCCTTAGCATTAAAACCCATGACACCACATACCTCGTTTGTCAATCAATCGCCTACCACAACTAAGCATTCTCCCTTTATTTCACCCGCAACACCTTCCCTGTTGATGAAATTGGGTAGCGGTATCCCTTCTTCGGGTACAAATACACAGTATGCTTCATCCAATTTAGTCGTAGATCATATGCCCGTGCTACCTGATGCCATGTTACCTCCTGTCGAGGAACCCGATGTCAAACGACGTCGCATCTCACAGACTTCACCTACTTCCACTGCCAACTACGAAATGTCCCCCAGTGGCGGACTGAGACCACAACAATCACCACGGGCCTTAAAACCCCTCATCTCACCGTCATTAAAACCAAATGGGAAACGCCTGTCGTCTATTGAGGAAGAGACAGCGCGGGCGTTACTCACATCGAAATCGAATTATGAGAATTTAAAAGAAGGAAAGGCTAAGAGTCTGGGGATTGATTTTTCCACGACTATCCAATCTGGTATTGAAAATCGAAGGTCAGCGCATAAAGCCGCGGAACAAAAGCGAAGAGATACATTGAAACAAAGCTTTGATTCGTTAAGGACAGAGATTATTGAAGCTATGGTGCTAGAGGATGAAGAAGGTGCTGATAGACAAGCCAAAGAAAAAGATGTGAAACAAATGAGTAAAGTGGTGTTGCTACAGCATTCATATGAGTACATCTTACGGCTGAAAAATGATAATAAACGAAAAGATCAGAAACAGGACAAGATGCGTCAGGAAATTATTCACCTGCGTCGACAATTGGGTTTACCAGAGATCACTCAAGAGGAAAAGGATGAAGAAATGAAGGAAGCCTTGGAAGAAGAAGAACGAAAGCAGGCAAGATTAAAGCGCTTACAAACAGCCGCTGCCGTAAATGCTGGTGAAGAAGATCTTTAAATTTTTTTTTTTTTTTCTTTTCTTTTCTTTTTTTTTTTTTTTTTTTTCTAATAAAGTTTTTTTTTTCTTTTATTTCTCTATGGATTCCACATTTACATAGAGAGTACATTTACATTCGTAAACATCAAATACACAGGCCCAATAATTCGATGTGACACATGTGTAAAGGTGAACGGCCTTCAATAATCTACATATTTCACAAAAAGTGTAAATTGTGGCATATCTCCTCCACTTTGTTACACATCAAATTTAACGTGCATTTAAACTGATTAATCCCTCATCTTCAGAAAGAAAACACCTCACTCATCTATAATTAACATCAAGTAACTTTAAAAGACACTTGGACCCAAAATAGAAACTGCTTTTTTTTTTTATATACACGCCTTTTTTATATGAATATGTTTATAAATAGAGACGCCTCAATCCTACTTCTTTATTAATACATCTATTCCAAAAAGGTTGAGGATGACAGATCTAGTCTTGACAGTCGCTAACAGAGACTTTCTTGCTGGCTGATGCAATACGGGGTGTGAGCTGATCTGTCTCTTTTAATATCACTTTTTGATTTTGGCCCAATTCTTTTTTTTATAGGGTTTGAAAACGGCGGCATGAATAGAAGCTTTCAACCCCCCCTTTTTTTATATTTTCTACTACAAATGTAGAGCGATGGATTCTGCAATTATCTAAAACAATAAAAATCTTTTCTTGTCATGTCTGTCTAACACATCCATGACAACCTCAACGAACTTGGCAATATGATAGGCATTAATTCCTTTCTTGAGGGGTTTGGCATTAGATATATCCGTAGATCTTCTTTTTTTTAGAAGCAGGTTAATTTATTGAACGTTCAAAGTAAATGGTAGGTATAAAGTTAATAGATACTGCTTGGGCTGCTTGCTAATTATCATTAACTGTAAAATCGAAGGAAAAAGCTGCACAAGAATTTTAAAGTCTTTACTAAGGTAAGAACGATGGGCGCTCAAAGAAGAAGTGACATTACGATGTAACGCCTTTGAATTATAGTTTCTGATTAATTCTGTAAGCTTTTTTAAGTTGACTATCGTTTGAAAAAATGATCTTGAGAAATCTTGAAGCAATACTTGGTCATTTCCACGAGTAATGTATGAAGAGTTTCTACGGGTAGATCCTTCGATAAATCTACCGCTTCAAGTTTCAGCAATTTCTCTGCTCCTGTCATCTCAAAGCCTAGATCACTCTAATTGTTCGATACTCCAGGACCTTGTATCGTGCCTTAATTCGTAACACGTCCTCTGTTTGGAAGATGAACGATACTGGATCGCACAAGTTTATCGGGGATGTACAAAATCCTTAAAGTCTTCAAGAGTTCTTCTTTCCGCAATGTATGTATCAGCAGTGTAACGCAATGTTACGGGTGTCTTACCTGTTGTCAAAGGCTTATTAGAGTCAGACTGTCAGTAGCAAAATCTACAAGGGTGATTAGCCCTTGACCTTTTGTTCATCGCTAACTTAGGTTGACGGACGTTATCTCCGCGGAAAAAGAGAACAGGTACGATTACGAACACGTCTTTTTGTCGCTCAGCAACATATATCACCAGACCTTTTTCCAACTTGAGCAAATTATCAGTCAATGGCTTGACCATTTCCATTGCAGTGACTTCCTGATTATTGGTACAAAGAAAGAAATTATTTTCGTATTTGTTACTTTCATCCAAAGGAAAGGCCGCAATGTTCATAATCCAGCTGTCAAAACAGTTCCACTTTTTTGATCTGTTGCCGCTGGTGTCATCAAAAAACAATGTGATTGGTAATACACGGACTGACATACGTCGATCTGCAGAGATTCCCGGTACTCGGTTTCGGATTGCAAGGTACAATGTGGACCAAGTAACTGGCTGAATGGATAGAACGGATTTGAATCAAAGACTGATATGCATGGAGTAGCATTGGAACTATCCATTTCTTCGTTGTTAAAGTCAGAAGCAGGCTCATTGTCAATGTCTGCGGGGAATTCATGTATATCGTTGAAATCCTCATCACAACTGTCAAAATAATGGCCACCTCCATCAGGTTCTTCAACTAGTTGTTTATAATTAGGGATAAAAATATAGATGGGCTATATGTGTAGCTGATTTTATTTGTTTAGATATATCAATAAGTGTAAATCGGGTTATGTATACATTTTTAATGATTGCCATGTTCATTTAGCCATAAGAGAGTAAATCCTTGCAGCCAATACATGTGTTGTTTTGATATTATTTAAACTAGAGACAGCAATATAAGTGACGGATTTTTTTCTAGAGGACCCACAAAGTTCAAGAGCTGCCATGTAATATATTTAGTCCAGATACTAATTAAGATAATTTCTTTTCTCTTACCGTTTTCCAAATTATGAGCATATTATTATAGAGGGGGACACTTGAGACCTTAGTCACTATCCTTTTTACAGATACTCTTTCCCGTGACCAACCGTAGAAAGAGAAGGTAACCTTAACATTTCATAGCATCAAAGAAGGCCATCAAGCAATGAAGATTACTATGCAAGGCGACTCTGCAAGTGCCATCACAGGCGAATGACTCCCCCCAATTGGAGCCTGAAGAGAACCTAATCACACTTCTTGAGGCTGGCCAAACCCCATCGAAGCGGCAGTATCAGTCGTATATCGAAACTTTGACAAAAGGCCTTCAATCACCAAAGACGATAATACGGTGCATCTCCTCATCAAATTCACCTGTGTGTAGCTTCATACGACGTGTACATCTAAACACAACAGTTTAGAAAACTGAAGGCAATTTTTTAAAACATTCAGTATACATACCTTTTAAATATTATTATCAACACCGGTTATTTCCAATAGACCACAAGTTTCAAAAGTTGCTACGCAATAAAGTTAGTCCCATAACTGATGAAGAGAATTTCTTTTTTCTTACCCTTTTCCAAATTATAAACATATTATTATAGAGGGGGACACTTGAGACCTTAGTCACTACCCTTTTACAGATACACTTTCCCGTGACCAACCGTAGAAAGAGAAGGTAACCTTGGCATTTCATAACATCAAAGAAGGCCATCAAGCAATGAAGATTACTATGCAAGGCGACTCTGCAAGTGCCATCACAGGCGAATGACTCCCCCCAATTGGAGCCTGAAGAGAACCTAATCACACTTCTTGAGGCTGGCCAAACCCCATCGAAGCGGCAGTATCAGTCGTATATCGAAACTTTGACAAAAGGCCTTCAATCACCAAAGACGATAATACGGTGCATCTCCTCATCAAATTCACCTGTGTGTAGCTTCATACGACGTGTACATCTAAACACAACAGTTTAGAAAACTGAAGGCAATTTTTCTAAAACATTTAGTATACATACCTTTTATATATTATTATCAACACCGGTTATTTTCAAGAGACCACAAGTTTCAAGAGTTGCTACGCAATAAAGTTAGTCCCATAATTGATGAAGATAATTTCTGTTCTCTTACCATTTTCCAAATTTTAAACATATTATTATAGAGGGGGACACTTGAGACCTTAGTCACTACCCTTTTACAGATACTCCTTCCCGTGACCAACCGTGGAAAGAGAAGGTAACCTTGGCATTTCATAGCATCAAAGAAGGCCATCAAGCAATGAAGATTACTATGCAAGGCGACTCTGCAAGTGCCATCACAGACGAATGACTCCCCCCAATTGGAGCCTGAAGAGAACCTAATCACACTTCTTGAGGCTGGCCAAACCCCATCGAAGAGGCAGTATCAGTCGTATATCGAAGCTTTGACAAAAGGCCCTCAATCACCAAAGACGATAATACGGTGCATCTCCTCATCAAATTCACCTGTGTGTAGCTTCATACGACGTGTACATCTAAACACAACAGTTTAGAAAACTGAAGGCAATTTTTTAAAACATTCAGTATACATACCTTTTATATATTATTATCAACACCGGTTATTTTCAAGAGACCACAAGTTTCAAGAGTTGCTACGCAATAAAGTTAGTCCCATAATTGATGAAGATAATTTCTGTTCTCTTACCATTTTCCAAATTTTAAACATATTATTATAGAGGGGGACACTTGAGACCTTAGTCACTACCCTTTTACAGATACTCCTTCCCGTGACCAACCGTGGAAAGAGAAGGTAACCTTGGCATTTCATAGCATCAAAGAAGGCCATCAAGCAATGAAGATTACTATGCAAGGCGACTCTGCAAGTGCCATCACAGACGAATGACTCCCCCCAATTGGAGCCTGAAGAGAACCTAATCACACTTCTTGAGGCTGGCCAAACCCCATCGAAGAGGCAGTATCAGTCGTATATCGAAGCTTTGACAAAAGGCCTTCAATTAACAAAGACGATAATACGGTGCATCTCCTCATTAAATTCACCTGTGTGTCCTTTCTGTAACATTATTAACACAAACAATTTCAAGAGACCATGATCAGGGAAACAAACGGACAATGCTTCCAATGGGATAAGGCGGCAGTGGTAGAACCTCTTTACAGAACGGAAGAATGAAGGGTGTGTAAAGAGATGTATATAACTTTGAGCATGTTAAGGTGAGAAGTAGAGAAGTAGAATAAAAAAGAAAAAGTCTTTTTTATTTTCTTGGCTCTTATTTATGCAAAAAAAAAAAAACTGGTTTGTTTACTTTGCATATGATGGCTTATAAACTTAATGATTTTACTAGTTTTTTTAAAAAAACTGTATTGCCCATTGAATAGTTCGTGTTTTTTTCGACAGATCCATGTGCGTAACATGTTACATTCCATGCTGTGTGCTGCATTATGAATAAAGAAAAATTCACTTTTTTATGGGAGATATCATTCGTGTAACCAAACAAGTTTAAGGGAAAGAAAAATAATTTTTTTTATGACCCATATGATCATTTACTACAATATCATCGGAGACCACTTCGTTTTTCTTTTTGTTGTTAACATTATCCACAGTTCATGTAGGACATATAATTGGCTCGTTTTATAATTGCTGGTGCTCTGCTGTTCCTGCAGCGGCTGCCTCAAAGGGTTCTCGACAACGTTGAACAATTTCTCCCAGACAGAAGTTTTGGGTACTTTAATTTTATGATCAATTGTACCTGGAACAAGAATTAACTAGAGCATACAAAACGTCAGTTCATTTGTTTAAATTTTGTTTGTTTGTTGCATGGTGTAGTATATCTTGGTGTACTCCCAAAACCAAGTTCCAATTTTTTCAAGGCCATCGCCAGGTGGTGCTGTGATAGGCCAGACGCAAAATATTACAAGCGATAGCACTAAAGATCAGTGCACTCTTGATAGGCACTTTTTAATCCAAAGGTCGTGGTAGTCTTCTTTAAAAAAATCATTAGGGAGGGTTTTATTTTAATAAAAGTGGTGGTAATAAAAAAAGGTGATTTAAGAAAGTTACGCATATTATTATTCAAGCATTCATATGTTGTGTATAATTTAAATATAAGCGAGTGTTAATGGCTCAATGATATTTTCGGATTGGTAATGAGGATGTCTAAAATAATTCTTAATACCTACCATATATCCATTGGATATTTTGATAGATAAATGATCGCTGATATGTTCATATTCTATTACTATTTTTCTGACCAAAGGAGATTCAAAATCGTAATGGATTATAAAATGTTGACCAGGAGTGTCGTAGCGCAACAAAGTGTACTTCTCCGATACATTACTGCTTGAACTATCTAACTGAAGAACATCTAATATGGGTGATCCATCTAAATAGAGGTGTGTCCCATCAGTACAAAAGAAGGAAAATTATAGCAACAAACTAACCGAGTTTTTCATTTATGTGAATTCTAAAACCCTTTGTTGAAAGTGGCTTGCCTTTCTGAATAAATACAAAGTAACTGCCATCTCCTGCAATGGTATTTTTTATATCCCCGTTACTGCTTATTCGGATGAAAGGGTATGACATGCCTGGCTCATTACATAGAATTCGCAACGCATACGTTTTGCTTGGTACTTGGCACAAAGTTCCAGTGATAAACCTTTCGAACATGTATGGCCTTTTTTTAGGCACAGACGAATTCAGTAATTGGAAAATTGATTCTTTTAGCACAGATGTCTTTGTATTCAACTCTTTAAAATGTACACCGTCATCAATCGTTTTTTGCATTATCATGGTGTATACGGTGTGGATCATTGAACCATACGTCAGACTGAACGGGTCTCCAAACACAAAAACATAATTCGGTGCATAGTTTCCAAATAATTCTTTGTTGGTCAAAGAAGCCACTATATCTATTGCCATATTTTCTATCACAGGCGTAAGACCTACTTCAATTATGTCACGAAGAAATATGTTAATACTGCAACCGCATTTTATGCTAATATCCAGCTGTAGTTTAGAATTCATATCCAAATTTGCTTTGTTTTTCTTCAACTACCAAGAAGTAATTAATAGACTGAGACATTAGTTATATCCTAACTTACTAGCTCAACAACGCATGATTTTAGATTTTCATAAATATTTCTAAATGTCTCAAATGATTGGAAATCATATTGCGCATCTTCCTCGTTCTTGTGCGTTGTACAATAATCAAATGGACAATTGACTTGCATGTTTTTCATAATATTTTTACATAGCGAATCTAAGACATCATCGATATGTATTATTTTATCATGAATAACGATGGATGCAGCGTCTTCTCCAGATGCTGATAGCTTGACAACTTGATGTAGACTGAGCTGAATATGCTTCGAAGACATTTGCGCAACTATAAAGAACGATTTCATCCTAAACTTTAAATTCACTAGCTTTTGTTGAATAGCTGGCAGAATTTCCTCTCCACGAGTGCAAAATTTTGCCTTTCGAAGTTTGTCGTCCTTCCCAAGTATTCCACTTGCTAAAAATAATTGTTCCAAATTTTTTATGGAGCCGAACACAGTATCCAATAGGTTTTTATCAATCGAGATGCCATACCAAATGTTGTTGGCTCGCCAATTGGTGCCTACATTACTTTCTAATTTTTTTTCTATTTGTTTGTGGAGGCAATGCAGATATGTGATCATAAAAAAAAAGATATAACCTGGATGACAGGTAGTAAATAACTCACTTCCCGCACCACAAAATTCATCTTTCAACGTATAAAAATCGTCCATTTCAAGGTTTACTGTAAGCTGCTCCAATAGATTTGGGTTAAAGGATGCAAACAAACTCCTAATTTCCTTTGGCCTATTTTGACTTGATTTTATCCTGTCATAATTACTTAAAGTATGTCTGTTTCGCACGTTTCGGAAAGCCCGGTTAAGTAATTTGGATGTCGGGTTCACTAGCATTCTTCTCATCAAATTTTGTCTTTTGTAGTTGGAATACATTTTAAGATAATCACCAAAATTAATTTCTAATCCTAGCTTTAATCTAAAGGTGATATAGTTAAGAATTGTCAATTAGAAGCGGCTTTTTTAATTAGTTTTACCTATTCGTTATACAAAGTGTTTGTCTTTGGTATAACTCTGATTGGGTGATAAAATTATTCAATGGCTGCATATGACTATTATACATTGTAGTTAATAAAAGTTAATTTGAATTTTCTTATAAAAGACATTTTTCAGCCTATCATTATTACCATTCAATATTTTGCTTCTGTACAACTTGTCTATCTTTATCTAGATGTGTTAACATAGTCTCCATTTGTGTAAGAGATATGTCTACTCAGTTTTAAAATAGGTTAATACGAAGACAATACTCCTATGGAGTCAGTTTACCGATATTGATGAAAATAATAGGCTTTAAACAACTTCCGGGAGTTTTGATTGTTGTATCATTGGGTAGTATAACAGGGTCTCTGCGCATGTTAAATTCTAGCATTTGGTTTCTTACAAGTTGTATATTCGCAAAATTTCGGGTATTCCTGTCAAGTATATCAAATCTGAAGATTACATTATTTGCCATTAAGTCGTAAGATTTTATTTGTTTTTCACTATACGTTTTCGCCCACTTTTCAATTAACATTGGTAACCCTAGTAATTCAGGATTACTCTGGGTTTGTTTTGTGTAAAAGATAAACATCGACTTGGCTTTTATATTGCTTGTGCCCGCAAGAAATTTTTCCATTTCATTTCCATAGACTTTCTCAGCAGGACCTGAAAAATGCTCAAGTATGTCTTCTAAAGTGATCGATTGGATAGCCCTAATTTCCTTTTCTTTTAATCCATATAGTTTAACCTGGTTATTTTCCAAATGCTGAAATGGCTGATGGGATAAAACGGTTTGAAACGAACGAAATAACTACAAAAAATAAAAACGTTTTTAATAAGTTTCTTCCCGATTTTAATCCCTCTAAATCTTACTGAACGCCTAGTTTCTCGGAACTCATGGCCAATTATTTCAAGCATATCATCAATAAATTCTGTTGATAACGTGGTAACAGAAAGTTTTTTTAAACATGCTATTAATGACAATCGTCGTTCATTTAATCCATAAGGTATTTCAAAATGAACTTGTTTCAATAGTTGTGGGGCCCATTTTCTTCCTGCTACTGTGAAAGCGGGATATTGAGCTGATATCAATTTTAAATCCACAGAGCATGTGCTTTGATAATTTAGCGTACATATAATGTATTGAGCACCGATTTTTAACTTTACATGATCAGCGACTTCTGGATCTGCCTGCATGATTTCAAAAGTTGACTCTAACTCTGAAAAAATCATCAACCTGCCCTGGCCATCATCTCGCTGGGTAAGGCCAGCTTTTACTAATAGAGACTGGAACAAGTCTTCTCTTGTTTTGTAATCCCAATTTGTAGGAAGAATCAAAGTATAAAAAAAGTCTATATTTGAACCATTCAACTCTTGTTTATACTGTTGCAGTATGTCTTGTAATACATTTATGGCTTCCTGAAGAAAAGCCTCGTATAGTTTAGTATAACTGAAAGATTCTTGCTCGCTTTTAGAAAAATTCTCAATCAGTTCGCTGAAAACGTTTTCCACATAAACAACATCTTCTCGATGCCCTTTTGAGTCCTGATTAATTCTATCAGCCAAGGCGCCTCTGGCAATAACGGTTCCAGTAACAGTGTTATATAATATTGAGGTATCGTTCGTTTTTTCAACACTTTTTTTTAAAAAAAAAACAAGAGGCAATCTCTGTCAAAACAAAAAAAGAAAGTACATTCTGTCGTTGCATTGTTGACTAACCTTTCGTTTGTATAAGATTGTGCGTTCACGACCGTTAGGTTAGACTCAATGGTGTTATAGTGGAAATCTGCACAAAGTAAGCAAAGCCGTAACATAAAAAAATAAGTTGCTTACCCAGAATAATACAATATTTTTGTCGAGAATAGTCATAGAGTTCTTCCATTTTCATTTCTTTCACCTTGAGAGTAATAAGCGGAATATGAGAACAGCCTTACACCTGGGAGCGGTGCTTCATTTATTTGAGGTACATGGTAACACAGGCAACTTTGTGTGGCTAATGAGTGTAGTAAATAAGGTAAAGACATGCTTTTCTCATTGTCTTCCATTCTTCATGGTTGAAAGCGCTAGTAGTGTCTGCTCTAGCCATTATACGGTGTCTTTGTCTTTTCAATAGGTACTAGAATGAAATTAGCCTTTGCATTGATGTAAATGAGAGCCGTTGCGACATTTTTATAGTGTTGTCTAAAAGAAAGAAGCCTATAAGCTTAATTTGCTTTTACTAGTTTTTTTAAAAACTGTATTGCCCATTGAATAGTTCGTGTTTTTCTCGACAGATCCATGTGCGTAGCATGGTACATTCCATGCTGTGTGCTGCATTATGAATAAAGAAAGATTTACTTTTTTATGGGTAGCTGATGTCCAACTGCGCCAAAGGATCCCATTGAAGTACGGTATTTTTGTAATAATCAGATGAATCAGATCTTAGAGAAACTTTCCTTTACCCTTTCGATGTAAGCCTACTTTGAAATATATACAAAAAAAAAAAATCGCGGAGGGCCATCTATTCTATTAATGAGCCTTTTTTTTTTATTGAGCTACTAATTTAAAAAAAAAGAAGGTAGAAAGAAATAATAATAATATATAAACAAGGATATTTGTACACGAAGAAAAAAAAAGGGGGGGAGAGGAAAGAAAATATTGAGTATTTGGAATTATTCTTCAGGTTGACAGCAATCAATTGCCTGACACCATTCACTTTCCAGCACACACGATGCCGTAATTCTTTTCTGAGGTTGAGGATCCAACATACGATAAATGATTTTCTTTGCATTAATATCAATACCATCCAAAGTATCAAACCTTCCTTCCTTGGCACGTTTTCGAATAGTCTCTCTTGCCTTTAACACACTTGTCTCACGTTGTATACGTTCCTGTGCTCTTTCCTCTTGTGACATGGTTTTTTCCAGCCCCTTTCTTCGTGCATGTTCCCTTCTCGCATTCTCTCGTTCTTCATCCAGTAACTGTCGAAATTTCAAATACTTATCGTAAGCTTCATCTTCCCCTGCTTTTGCTACCTGCCATAAATGTGATGCCTTTCTCAAGGCCATATAAATAATACCACAACTCCACACATCTACTAAACGAGCATCATAATTCGATTGTGTAAACTCTTCGGGTGCGATATAAGGTTCTGAGCCGACTAAACCACGAATCAAGTGAATCTTTGAGCAGGTTTCTTCATCATCCTCTTCTTCTCCATCACTATCCATGATGGCCCCCTTGAAACAAGCAGCAGAGCCAAAATCCGAGATTTTTAAACATCCCGTGGTTGTCAAGAGTAAATTCTCGGGTTTCAAATCACGATGGGCTACGCCAATGGTATGAAGGTAAGTGACACCCCGCATTAATTGTTTAAAGAAACAGTTGGCTTCAGCTACTTCTAATCCATCTGGACAATCGTACAGGACATCGAATAAATCTCCACCGCCACTGTATTCCATCACTTGAGCAAAGATCGGTGACGTCTCGTTTAAGGGTAATAAATCAAAGGTGCGAATGATATTGATATGATGCATAGTGGAAGAAATGTAGTATTCGGATGTCAATCGTGTGACATAATCTTTGGAATTTTCTCCATGGCGTTTACGTAATTCCTATAATGGAAAAAAAAAAAAGAATGATGAGGGATTTAAATAAATAATACGAGGCTTTTTTTTCTCTCTCTGCTTACTTTAACGGCGTACAAACGTTCACCTGTTCCTTCTACCTTGTGAGCGACTCTGACTACACCGGAAGTGCCCTTTCCTATTGTTTCTTGACACGTGCCCCATTTTTCTGCCAGGGTCTTTTTATCATCAGAGGTGCGATGCAATCGTAAGTTTAGGGCTGCTCGTTCTTTCAGCACCTCATCATACGTGACCTTTCTTTCGGTCCATTGAGTCAGACGTAAAGATTTATTCGCAATCCCAGTCACAAGTCCATTCAATGAAGCAGTAATCCGGTTAGGAGCCGGTAGCGTCAAATGATGAAGATGTCCTCCTTCTTCTAATAACTGAAATCTAGCGGGAGGTCTCGCTAGATCTTGTGAGGCTCGTTGTGATACGGGTGGGGATAATGAGATCGGCGTTTTCGTACTATTACTGTTATGGGTATGAATTGAACTGGAAGTGCGTAAGACTTGTTTAGGTGAGGTAGGTGGCGAGGAAGATGGCAGGATACTGGAAAGCGAGACAGAATGATGCGAGTTTTGGGGTTGCAGTGCAGGAAGGCTGGTTTCTCCCGTGTTTAAATTACCTGTAGTGTTTCTGGTCGTCAATACCGGTGGTGTGTTATTATTGTTGACTGGGTGTGCTACCACATCCTTTTTCACTGCCACTCCTTTATCCTTGTTAAACAACGATTGAAAAAATCCCATAATAACTTTATATAAAAATAAAAAAATAAAAAAGAGAGAGAAAGGAAAAATTATATGAAAATAAAAAATAAAAGAAAAATAAATAAATGTTCCGTATTTTTTATTGGACACAGCTGCTCACGGTACCCAATTTCGCGCGAGTTTAATTTAAGAGGGTTTCAATCTTGATTGGAAGGAAGATGTTGGGGGGGCGTAGTTGTTAAGTAAGCTAAATGGCGTTACTGATATTTCGCATCTTTTTTAGTCATTTGTGACATCTCGTACACACTCATTGTTTATAAATACTTGAATCATTTTGGCTAGTACACCACCAATCCTTTATTCCCAACCCCCCACCCCACCCCCCGAACCACGGACATAGGATAGACTGATTTATTAATTACTTATAAAATATCTGCTTTTAGTATAAATAATGCACAATAAATCATTTACATAAAATCAACTATAGTAAACGCTCACTTTATCTGCACTGGCTATTTTACACACGTGTACAACCCCATTAGCATACAAAATAACAAAAACGCACATCATTTTCATTTTAAAAGGGCTGCATTATGATTTGTTTATTGAAATGAATGACAGATACTTGATGTCATCCTGCCTTGATAATAGCCGTTTATCCCCCCACAAATATCTTTTTTTTTTTTTCAAAACAAATCCCTAATAACTCTCCAAAAGAATTCTTACAAAAAAGGAAACAATTTTCAAGGCCATCTTTCCACTGAGTTTAACTTCTTACAAATGCAAACGTCAATTAATCTTTATACACTAGTGTGTCTATCTATAGGGTTCTTTCTTATTGAATCCACACTTCTATAGATGCAGATCTTTTGTTTCTTGAAGCACAGTTGACTCTTTGTCATACAGTGTATTTAGAATAAAGCCTTCTTACACGCCAAATTAGAGAATGTTTATTTTTGGGGGAACGCTTCAAACAAATGTTTAAAGTAAAAGGAACACTGACTACCTAGTAACTCCTTCACGTTCCAGCCCTTTTCTTTATTTCTTTTTAAAAAAAAACTTTATTTAAGCACCTTGCTAATCCGGGAATCGTTTCCTTTCAATGTAGCTGAGAACACAGCATCCACCTAAAAAAGCTACCGAATGGGATTCTGTCGTCATTGTGTCGCTCTTGGCAGAAGGTCCCCCTCTTTTTTTTTATTATTTTTATTCCTTCTGTATTCTTCTCCCGAGAGCTTGACCTCCAGTTGCTTTTTCTCACGTGTCCTTGTAGTTATGGACTCAACTTTATCTTTACATCACGTTTTCTCTCTACTATGCTTAATTTCTCCGTTTTTAGGTATTTCTTGTTTTCAATGTTACACCTTCATTTCGCTGAGATAGAAATTATGCTAAATATAAATACAGTGATAAATTTTAGGCCAAGTCTTTTGGGTGATGTATTCATTCCTCGGTTATAGCTACGTTACAGTATGACGCTCGCTTTTGAAACTTTTGTCTATTTCTGCCAATATTTATAATTCAATAGCTCAGTCCCTGACAGACGTCATAAAATACAAGAACAACTATCTCTGTGATAAATTATTTCTCGTTCATACCAACATGGCACTATCTTCTTATGTCTGTATGCTACATGATCTAAGTTGTTTGAGCGTTTTAAAGCAAACATACTTGACTGTGCCGTCATATTCATTGTCTTTGTTCCCCGTTTTAGTTAATGACTGAAAAGACTTTGTGAGGTATCAACATGCTCCTTCCTATAGCAAGCTTCCATCGCTATGTTTTTTTTTTGTACCAATAGTAGAATCTATAGCGTGTTGACTGTAAAGGAAAAAAAAATCTTGCCGCGACCACCCTCATTCCATTATTTTGTTGTCGCCTGAATTTTTTTTTAAGCAGAGCCATCTTCCTATTAGGCACCTTGAGCGTATATGGCACTGTTGTCACATTATTCTAATATCAGAGAAAATATGTAATATATCATCTTTTCTCTTTCTAAAATACAAGACCCAGATGACTGGTATAGTCATCATTTGTTTGCTCAGTAATTTTAATTGTTAAAAACTTAGTAGTGAGCTATATCAGACTTGCTTGATATGGAAAAACGGTTGTACATTGACACCAAAGCTGATAGACATTATTGCCTTTTAATACTTTGGTACTATTTCTTGCGACCATAATAAGAATGATTTGAACTTGTTTAGTTTTTGAAATCAAACACCTCATCGTCGTATTCTCCCGTTACCTTATTTCAACGTATAAGTGGCTTTTATTCTTTTAGGATTTACTAAGGGATATGTTGCTATGAGAACAGTTGGATGATGTAATTTCATTTATCCTGATCGAGCCATAGGAATCGGGCTCATGGCAAAAAGAGCAGCGTCCTTAAGAGATTATAAGTTGGGAGCATATTGGTCCGTTGGCCATAATGTATGAAGTTTATTTCTTGTGACATCCCTATTTCTTTTATAAAGGCTATGTATTTGAAAAACATAATTAGAGGTGTCCTCACTGTAATATTTTGTATATCAGCAATTGTTTAGAAATTGGCTGGATCGATTAATATAAGGATAGATAGGATAGAAAAAAAAAGAACTTGAAAGCGTCTCCCTTTCCAGGTTTTTAGAACAATCTCAAATGTATGTGGAAGCTGTAAAAAAAGGAGGAACATAATATAAAAATCAATTAACAGAGAGAAACGTTAATTGATATCTTCTATCTAAATAATTAAAAAAAAGTGCGTTTACAAGAACTAATTAACACCAGGCATATATTTTAATTCACTACCGCACAACTTTTTGTAAAAAACAGTTGATAATTCTAAAGATGAAGTTTTCATTACAGCACAATACGGCGTAGTATACACCAATGATTTACATGATACATTATGTAATTAAGTCATGAAAAGCACAAATCTATTGTTAAGTTAACAATTATACCACACATAAGACTGGGAAAGATGTAGGATATGATTTTGAGTCGTTTAAAATGTATATTAATAATAATCGTCAACATATAAAGGCATGCGTACTTAAACTAGTAAGTTAGAATAAAACAAACGTATTTCAATTACTTGTCATTTTATTGGTAGATAACTGAACAGAAACAAAGATTCTTTAAACGTGAATTTAATATGTCTCTACGTGACATCACCGAGGTAAAGTTTCTGTCAGTAGTAGAAAACATAACAACGACAGCTATGTATTGGCTTCCTTTACAAATAATGGATCATTTAAAATTATGTACCAAATTTTATTTTGTATTTGAGAATCCATTTAATCTGACTTACAAATCAACGATCCACAGTACATACACCATATTACTGTAAAAAGCGATCTGCAGCAGCGTAAATTTTAAAGAAAAAGATACAAACACATTCGTAACTATTAGAGTGAGAATCAATTAGGCAACTGATGGAGCCAGGTGTACGTATAAAAAACCCACATACGTCTGGGATAATTACCTCTAGAACGTTGTGCCAAGTATCAATCAACATATATGCGCTGCAAATCCCATTTTGTCAACAAGACAAGTCTGAAACATTCATCTAATTGAACAGTAATGATGATATCAAAAATACCATCGCAGGAGATGGAAGTTATTTGGTATTTATTCAGAAAGGAATGCCAATTTCAGCAAAGGCATTCATAATTCAAGCGAATGAAGACATAAACTTTAACTGTTAGTTAAAATCTGATAATTATGATTTTATTGAAGCAGTGATAGATTAAATATAAGCGAGTGTCAATGGCTCGGCAATATTTAGGGATTGGTAATAAGGTTTATGAATATAGTCATTAATATGGCCCATACATCCTCTTGATACTTTGATAAATAAATTATCGCTAATCTGTTCATATTCTACAACAAACTTTTTGATAGTATTACTCAACAAATATTCCCATGCTATGTCATAAGTTGCACCAGAAGTGTCGCTGTGTAACAAATCATACTTGTCCGGACCAGTATTGGTTGAACTTTCTAATTGAAGAATTTCTAATTTGCAATCTATGGATAAGTAGAAGAGGGTCTCATCAGTACAAATGAAGAAAAAAAATATAGTAACAAACTAACCGTGTTCTCCATCAACTTGAATTCTAATCCCCTTTGTTGAAATTGGCTTCCCTTTCTGAATAAATACAAAATAACTGCCATCTTCTGCAATATTATTTTTGATATCACCATCACTATTTATTCGGGTGAAAGCGTAGTGATAGTTTGTGTAGGAAACTGTAACCCTCAGAGCAAATGTTTCGCTTGATACTTGGCACAAAGTTCCAGTGACAAACCTTTCAAGCATGTAAGGCTTTTTTTTAGGTAAAGACATCTCCAGCAATTGGGAAACTGATTCTCTTAGTACAAATGTCTTTGTATCTTTTTCTTTAATATATACGCCGTCATCAATCGCTTTTTGCATAATCATGGTGTATGAGATGTGGATCTTTGAACCCTGTCTCAGATTGAACGGATCTCCAAACACAAAAATATAATTCGGCACATAGTTTCCGAATAACGTTTTGTCAGTCAAAGAAGCCACTATATCTGTTGTTATACTTTCTATCACTGGAATAAGGCCTAATTCAATAATATCACGAAGAAATATGCTAATACTGCAATTGCAGTTCGGGTTGATATTCAGCTGTATTTTAGAATTCATGTCCAAATTTGATTTGTTTTTTTCCAACTACCAAGAAGCGATCAAAAAACTGAGACGTTAGTTATAAATCAACTTACCAGCTCAACAATGCATGGTCTCATATTTCGATAAATATTGCTATATGTCCCAAATGACTGAAAATCATATTGTATACGTTCCTTATTTGTATGTGTGGCGCAATGATTAACTTGGCAGTTGGCTTGTATAAATTTCATAAAATTCTTACAAAGCGTATCATATACATGTTCAATGTAAATTATTTTGTCTTGGATAATGATGGACGCTGGATCTTCTCCGGGTAATGCCAGTTTAACCACTTGATGCAAACTGAGTTGGATATGCTTCGAATATATCTGTGCAACAATAAAGTATGATTTCAACCTAAAGTCCAAATATTGATACTTGTGTTGAATAGCTGGTAGAATTTCTTCTCCACGAGTGCAGAATTTGACTTTTCGGAGTTCGTCGTCCTTCCCGAGTATTCCACTTGCAAAGAATAATTGTTCCAAGTTTTTTATTGAACTGAATACATTATCCAGTAAGTTTTTATCAATAGAGACGCCATACCAAGTGTTATTGGCTTGCCAATTATTTCCTAAATTAATTTTTAGTGCTTCCTCTATTTTCTTGTTGAGGCAATGCAGATATGTGATCAAAAAAAATAATATATAACCTGGATGACAGGTAGTAAATGACTCGCTATCCGAACCCCAAAATTTAGCTTTTGACACAAAAAGATCTTCCACTTTAAGGTTTGCCGTAAGCTGATTAAATAGGTTTGGCTGTGCAGAAAGAAATAATCTCCTGATTTCCTTTTGTCGATTTCTGCGTGATTTTATCCATTCATAATTGCTTAAAATTCTTCTCCTCTGTATTTTTCGGGATGCTCGGCCAAGTAATTTGGATACTTGGTTCACTAGTGTTCTTTTTTTCACACTTATTTTGTAACTTGAGTATAATTTAAGATGGTCACCAAAAATCTTTTTTAGACATGTCTTCAGTCTAAACGTACAATTAGAGTTGGCAATAACAAACGATTTTTCAAGTAGTTTACCTATTTGGTATCTGTAGTATCGGTCTTTGATATAATTCTGATTTCTTGATGAAACTAATCAATGGTTGCATATTGCTATTATACAATGAAACAGATCTTAGTTTGTATTTTCCTATAAAATATATTTTGCTGACTATTACAATTACCATTCAATACTTTGCATCTGTTCAACCTGTCTATCTTTATCTAGGTATGTTAAAGTAGTCTTAATTTGTGTAAGCGATATGTCTGTTTAGTTTCAAAATAGATTAATACAAAGCCAATAACTACTACTATGGAGTCATTTTACCTATATTGATGAAACTAATAGGCTTCAACCAACTATTAGGTTGTTGAATTGTTGTTTCCTTTGGTAGTATGACTGGGTTTCTGCGCTTGTTAAATTCTTTCATTTGATTTGCTACAAGCTGTTTAATTATTACTTCCCGGGCAGAATCGTCAATATCACAGAATACGGAACATCTACGATATCCGATTAATTTGGGAAAAAAATTTAGTTCGTCTTTATACTGTTTTGTCCACTTTTCAAGTAATGGGGTTAACCATAATGCTTTAGAAATGCTATTGGCTCGAGTTGTGTAAAAGATGAATATCGACTTAATTTTTATGATGCTCGTGCCCGCTAGAAATTTACTTGATTCATTTTCAAAGACTTTTTCAGCAGGTACAGAAAAATGTTTAAATATGTCCTCCATAGTGACTGATTTCATAGCATCGATTTCTCTTCTGTTTAATCCGTACCTCTCAAACTCGCGATATTCTAAGTGTTCAAACGGCCTTCTGGATAAAACAATCTGAAACGAGATTTGCTAGTTTAAAAAAAAACATTTGGTTTAAATTCTCTTCCTAACTTCATTTCCTTAAATACTTACTATACTTTTAAAAAAATTGAAGCCTTCACTGATAATTAAAAGCATTTCGTCGATAAATTCTGATGATAACGTAGTACCACAATGCTTTTTTAAACATGCTATTAGTGACAATCGTAATTGATCTGATCCATAGGGCATTTCAATATGAACTTGTTTTAATAATTGTGGTGCCCATTTTCTTTCTGCTGATATGAATGCAGGATATTGAGCTGATACCAATTGCAAATCCACAGAAGATATACCTTGATAATCTACTGTACACATAACGTACTGATCACCATGCTTTAATTCTACGCCCTTACGGAATGGTCTATCTATCTGTATGTTCTGAAAGTTTAACTCTAACACTGAAAAAAACACCAACCTGCCCTGACCATCATTTTTATGGATAAGACCAGCTTTTACGAATAGAGGCTGGAACAAGCCTTCTCTTGTTTTATAATCCCAATTGGTTGGAAGAACCAAAGTATAATAAAAATCCATATTTAAACTATTTAACTCTTGCTTATAATCATCAAGTAGTTCTTGTAACAGGTCTACAGCTGCCTCGTAAAAGACCGCGTATTGGGCCGTATTATCGAGAGATTTTTGCTCGGATTTTGAATAAATTTTGACGAGCTCGCTAAAAATGTTGCGTACATAAATAACGCCTTGCTGAAACCCTTTCGGATCCTCATTCGCTTCATCGGCCTCGTTTCCTCTGGCAATGACATTTCTGGTGGTTGTGTCATATAAAATTGAGGTACGGTATTTGAATTGAAATCTTTTTTAAAAAAAGAGATCACTGTCAAAACAAATACACTTGTAAATTCTATTGTTTTGATGTCGTCTAACCTTCCAATAGTTCTTGTAAGTCCATTAATATTTATCGCTTCAGAGGTGATGAAGTCATGGCCCAAATCTATACGAAGTGAGCAACGCCATAATTTTTAAAAAAAATAAGTCGCTTACCCATACTAATACAATGTCTATGCCGAGTATAGTCATAGAGTTCTTCCATCTTCTTTCTTCTACAACACGATGTTAGAAGCGAAAAGTCACAAATACGAAGAGGCTTACGAATTCACAGCGTTTCGCTAAATCCGTTTATTTGTAGTACGAAACCTTATGTGACCATGAATGACAGGGTAGCAAAATCTCTCGTGTCTGGGAAAAGAGACCTTTGCTATCCTTCCCCTTTTAAGCATATGGAAACAAACAAAAAAAGACATCGTCTACAACATATTTTATATATGTATATAACACACTTTATTTAACACAAATTAACATTGTCACATACACTAACTTACCAAAAATACTTGTATCTACTTGAATTAGCATATCTATTTCCTCAATACTTCGGCTATATCATATCTAATACAATATTTTTTTCCTCTTGCTATAAATCCTCATCCCGTTCTTAAAAATGTCGATTTGGTTCAATACAGCATCTACAGCGTATTTTTCCTGCTTCCAGATACATTTATAATTAAGGACACACTGAGCCATCTAAGGATGTTCATTTGGGGGTATCCATAATATGTGAAAACTCAAGCAGAAGCAAGAAATTGTCAAATTCTTGAATGATGTGTGTTTTAACATTTCCGGGGTTTCCTCTGCAATAAAAGATGTCTCATCCTTTGTCTTCTCCACTTCTCTTCCTACATCCTTCACTTCAGGAAGACGCTCCTCTGCAAACACAGCAAGAATAGTATCCTATCGCTTGTCTAATGCGCAAAGCACTTCACGATTCGCATTTCTACCAATCGCTAAAATCCCATCGGATACCACTTCACTTTTCTTGTTGTTGTTCATATTATCCACAGGTGATGTAAAACCTGTGTCGGACTTGTGTTTTAATTGTTCGTGGTCTGCTGATTCTGCATTGGCTACTTCAACGGCTTCACGACGACGTTGAACGATTTCTTCCATGACAGAAGCTCCGATTTGGCCAGGTGACTTAGCTTCTTTAATTTCGTAATCGACAGCACCTGCAACAAGAATAGGCTGCAGCAAGTAAAGAGTGTCATTTTTTTAAGACATGTTTTTTTTCGGTGGGTTGGGCGTATTATATTACCTTGACATATTCACGAAACCAAGTTCGACTCTTTTCAAGTCCATCACCAGGCGGTGCAGTAATATACACTGTGACTTTACGAGGCATTTCCTAGTTTCTTATGGGGTGAGGACAAGAAAGAGAGATCAAAGAGGGGAAAAAAGACTTACATGGACACCACAAGGTCTGTCAGCGAGAAAAGAAACTCGTTGAGCAAGTCTGGTTCTGGCATCTTGGGCATATTTATTACTAGAATAGACAAAACCTGCAATGCCACCTGCAACACCACTAAAAATCAGTGTGTTCTTAAAAGGTACTTTTAATCCAAAAGGCATGGTTTATGAAAAAAGTGTTTCTTCTTTTAAAAAAAAAGGGGGCCCATTGTGTCCCTGGGGGGTGGGGGGAGAGTGAAGGGGGATTTTTAAAATTGAAAGTCACGTAGGTTTAAAACGGTGGTTTAAAAATAGGTTGATTTTATTGAAGGCAGTGATATGTTAAAGATAAGCGAGTGTCAATGGCTCCATGATATTTTCGGTTAAGTAATAAGGTTCATCAATATAGTCCCTAATATTGCCCACGCATCCTCTTGATATTTTGATAGATAAATTATTGCTAATCTGCTCATATTCTATCACATATGTATTAATAGAAATACCCGTCAAATAATAAGAGTCGTTTGTATAAGTAACACCAGGAGTGTCGTTGTGCAATAGAGTATACTTGTCCGGAACAGTACTGGTTGAACTTTCTAATTGAAGAATCCCTAATTTGATATCTATGTGTAAGTAGAAGTGGGTCTCATTAGAACAAACGAAGAAGTACAATCATGGCAACGAACTTACCTTTAGGTTCATTGATCTGAATTATAAACCCTTTTGTTGGAACTGGCTTCCCTTTCTGAATAAATACCAAATAACTACCATCATCTGCAATAGTATTTTTGATATCACCATCACTGTTTATTCGGGTGAAACTCATCGATCGGGATATATAACTAAATAAAATCCGTATCCCGTATGTATTGCTTGATACTTGGCACAAAGTTCCGGTGACAAACCTTTCAAACATGTAAGGCTTTTTTCCAGATAAAAACGTCTCCAGTAATTGGAAGATTGATTCTCTTAGTACAAATATCTTTGTATCTTTTTCTTCCATATATACGACGTCATCCATCGCTTTTTGCATAATCATGGTGTATGCTATGTGGATCATTGAACCCTGCGCCAGATTGAACGGATCACCAAACACGAAAATATATTTCTGTACATAGTTTTCAAATAGTTTTTTGTTGGTCAAAGATGCCGTTATATCTCCTGATATGCTTTCTATCACTGACATAAGACATACTTCAATAATGTCACGAAGAAATATGCTAATACTGCAACCACATTTCGTGTTGATATTCAGCTGTATTTTGGAATCCATGTCCAAATTTGACTTGGTTTTTTCGAACTACCAAAAAACAATTAATACAATGAGACGCTAATTATAGGTATACCAGCTTACAAGTTCAACAACGCATGGTTTTAAATTTCGATAAATATTGTTATATATCTCTAATGACTGCAAATCATATTGTGTGTCTTCCTCACTATTGTGCGTGGTACAATAGTCAACTTGACAATTGACTTGTAGGCTCTTCATAATACTCTTACAAAGTGTATCATATACATCATCGATTTGTATCATTTCATCCTGAATAATGATGGACGCTGGATCTTTTCCGGGTGATGCCAGTTTAACCACTTGATGCAAACTGAGTTGAATATGCTTTGAAGATATTTGTGCAACAACAAAGTATGATTTCAAACTAAAGTCCAAGTGTTGATACTTGTGTTGGATAGCTGGTAGAATTTCTTCACCCCGGGTACATAATTTTGCTTTTCGAAGTCCGTCGTCCTTCCCAAGTATTCCACTTGCAAAGAATGATTTTTCCAATTTGTTTATTGTACCGAATACATTGTCCGATAGATTTTTATCAATAGAGACACCATACCAAATTTTGTTGGCTTGCCAGTTCTTTCCGAAATTACTTTCCAATTTTTCCTCTATTTGCTTGTTGAGACAGTGCAGATATGTGAGCATAAAAAAATACATGTAGCCTGGATGGCATGTGGTAAATGACTCGCTATCCGAAGCAGGAAATTCGTCCTTCGACACAAAAAGATCGTCCATGTCAAAGTTTGCCGTAAGCTGTTCAAGTAGGTTTGGTTTTGAGGAAACAAATAATTTTCTGATTTCCTTTAGCGGGGTTTTACTTGACTTTATCCCTTCATCATTTTTTGAAGTTCTTCTCTTCCGCATGTCTCGGAAAGCCTGGCCAAGTAGTTCGGATGCTGGGCTCACTGGCAATCTTTTTTTCACATTTCTTTTGTAACTTGAGTACATTTGAAGATAGTCACCAAAAATATTTTCTAAATCCAACTTCAGTCTAAACGCACAATTAGAATTGACAATCATAAGCGTTTCTTTAAGTAGTTTTACCTATTTGATATGTGTAGTACTGGTCTTTGATATATTTCTGATTGCGTGATGAAACATTTTAACGGTTGAATATCACTATTATGCCATAAAATAGAACTTAGTTGGATTTTCTTTTAAAAGATATTTTGACGTCTATCTCCATTACCATTCAAACTTTTGCTTCTGTTCAACTTGTCTACCTTTATCTAGGTATGTAAAAGCAGTCTGGATTCGTGTAGGCAATATGTCTGTTTGGTTTCAAATAGATCAGGTTAATACGAAGCCGATGCCACTAAGGAGTCAATTTACCGATATTGATGAAGATAATAGATTTTAAGCAACTTTTGGGTTCTTCCATTGTTGCTTTTTTGGGTAGTATAACTGGGTTTCTGCGCACGTTAAATTCTTCCATTCGGTAGACTAAAAGCTTTTCAATTGCATCTGTTCGGTGATCATAGTCAAATGTTTCGAATACGGGGGAATCATCACCGATTTCCACGGATATGTAAAATTCTTTTAGTTCCCAGAAATACTTTTTCGACCAACAATAAAATGATGAGATTAGCCCCATAGCGAAAAAAGTTCTCGGGATTCGACTTGTGTAAAAAATGTCTATTGGCCTGGGTACTGTATTGCTCTTGCCTACAAGAAATTTATCTACTTCATTTCTAAAGAATTTTTCAACAAAACCAGAAAAATGTTCAAGTATGTCCCCTAAAGTGATTGAGTCATTCGTCCAGCGAGATTTCAAATCTGGCAATGGCTGACCATCTAAATCAGCACTTATATATTCCTGGCAAAATAAAAAAATAAAAAAAATTAATTATCTTTCCAATTTCATTTCCATTAACTCTTACGAAAATTTCAAATTCTTTGTAAACTTGACTGAGTTTTTCAAGCATGTCGTCGATAGATTCTGATGATAACGTAGTATCACAATGCTTTTCCACACATGCTATTAATGACAATCGTAGTTCCTTTAGTCCAAACGGGATTACTAAATGAGCTTGTTTCAACAATTGTGGCACCATGTCTCTGTTTGCTAATCTGAAAGCAGGATATTGAGCTGATACCAATTTCAAATCCACAGAGTATGTACCTTGATAATCTATTGTACACATAACGCGCTGATCACCATACTTTATGTCTCTAGTTCTAGGACCGTATCCTTGTATTTGCATGCTCTGAAAATTCAACTCTAACATCGAAAAAAACAGTAGCCTGCCCGGACCATCATTTTCATGAAGAAGACCAGCTTTTACGAATAGAGGCAGGAACAATTCTTCTCTTATTTCATGATCCCAACTGGTTGGAAGATTCAAAGAATAAAAAAAATTTATATTTTCACTTGCAATCAACTCTTTTCTATGTTGATCCAGTATTTTTTGTAACAGGTCTATAGCTTCCTCGTACAAGAGCGCGTACAGTGCCGTAGTGTCGAAGGATTGTTGCTTTGATTTTAAATAAATGTCAGCAAGCTCGCTTAAGGTGTTGCGTACATAAATAACGCCTTCCTGGAGCCCTTTCTGATCCTCATTCGCTTCATCGGCCTTGATTCCTCTGGCAATGACATTTCTGGTGGTAGTGTCATACAAAATTGAGGTCCGGTATCCGAGTTCAGAACTTTTTTTAAAAAGGAATCTCTGTCAAAATAAATACACGTACAAATTCTGCTGTTTTGATGTCGACTAACCTTCTAAGAATCATGTAACGATTATCAATGACTGCTTTTCCGGAGGTGATAAAGTCATAGCCCAAATCTATACGAAGTAAGCAACGCCGTAATTAAAAAAATTAAGTCGCTTACCGATGTTAATATAGTATCTATGTTGAGAATAGTCATAGACTTCTTCCATCTTCTTTCTTCTACAACAGGATGTTAAAAGCGACGAAAGTACAAATACGAAGAGGCTTACGAGTTCACGGCGTTTCGCTTAATCCGTTTATTTGTAGTACGAAACCTTATGTGACCATGAATGACAGGGTAAAGCATGCAATTAAATTTTCTATCTAACACTTATTAACATTGAAGCGCAGTATTCCTTTTTGCTAGACTACTCTTCGGTAGCAAAATCTCTAGTGTCTGGGAAAAGAGACCTTTGCTATCCTTCCCCCTTAAAGCATATGGAAACAAATAAAAAAAACATCGTTTACATCATACTTTATATATGTATATTACACACTTTATTTAACGCAAATTAACATTGTCACATACATTAACTTACCAAAAAATACTTGTATCTAATTGAATTAGCATTTCTATTTTTTCAATACTTCGGCTTTATCATGTCTAATACAATACTTTTTTCTTCTTGCTATAAATCCGCATCCCGTTCGTAAAAATATCGGGTTGGTTCAATACAGCATCTACGGCGTATTTTCCTGCTTCCAGATATTTATAATTAAAAACGCACTGAGCCATCTAATGATGTTTATTCAGGGACTATCCATGATATGTGAAAACTCAAGCGGAAGCGAGAGATTGTCAAATTCTTGAATGATGTGGGTTTTAACATTTCCAAGGTTTCCTCTAAAATAATATATAATGTCTTATCTCATATTCATATTTTCAGTCTATCCACTAGTTTATCTGATGATACAATGATGAGTGACAGTTGTCTACATATATTAATACCAAACCTATTGCGCTGATAGATGTAATATGTTTATTAGAATAGCAATCATGCAAGATATACACTACTGAATAAACTTGACGATTTTAGCTTTATTTCCAAGTTTAAACTGTTGATATTTTCCGTTTGTACTTTGTTGTGAACTTTATCATCAAAAGTCGTAGTATACAATTTGTCGTATTCATCCTGATCTTATTAGTAAAAATGATGCCCATCTCACACATTGACAAATGTTAAAAAAAAAACTTCCGGATTAACTCTCATACTAAATAATTATGCTTCTGTGACAGTGGACGATACATAACTACCTCAATCGGATAGTCCCATAAGCTCAGATCATCATAGATGACTTCAACAGCTTGATGGTCTTTGGTAGTGCTTGTAACGGTTGTAACACTGACGTGAGTGAGCAGTTTACCTGTAAGATTACAGTCTTTTATATTTATAATTACAAAATCATCATTGTTGGTACGACTTGTAGAATTCCTCTCGTTCAAAATACGAGAGAATATATGAGTGCTTTACCCTAAATACTTGATCTTTTACTATCTTTCTACTTGTAACATTCTTTTGCTCCGATTCGCTGATGTGAGGGGCAACCAAATCCGTCTCGGTATCAAGGGCTTTATATCTATGAAGATGTTGATAAAAGAGTTAAACAATGGATATGTTATACACTTACAGCGGGTGATATCATATGTCACATGCCGCCTTGAACAGAGAGAGTGGAAGGGAAAAGATGAAAAAGAGTAGAATTTGGTACATAAAAGGAGTTGATATTGAAGCTATTCAGCCGGATAATCTGTTTGGTAAAAGAAAAAGAAGGAAAAAAAAAAAGAATACATCAAGTAAAAAAGAATAAAAAATCTAAGTATTCCAAAAAGAAGTGTCACATCGTGTTAAAAGTAACATAAGAAAAAGAAGAAACTGCTATTATAATTAAGTGTTTAGATTTAAGAAAGTTGCAAGAAATACACACTTCCAGAATTTTTTTCTTTTCCTGATCAGATAAATATAATTTGGTTAATTATATGTTAAGAGATCTAACGATATATTTGCATACGTCGCTTCACGTTTTTGTTCCGCTATTGAAGCGGGTGGCCTGAATTTCTTTGTCAATTAACTAAATCGATCCAATCGATTTGATCAAAATCGAGCATAAACTCGATTTTTTCAAAAGACGTTTAGCAGTTTTTACCCTAGATTAATTTAAGTTGCTCAGGATCCTGATTTGTAAGTTTTCTCTCTGTTTTTTCTTGATCTCTTTATTGCGCTACTCGCAGAAAAAGAGAATACCTCCTAAATAAAAACTTGGGCCAATTTGAACCCACATCCGCGGGAAGAAATTGGTCATTTCTCATTGCCATTCAATTCTTTATCCGTCATGTACCTATATCTACCCTATGAACATTAAATAATAGACCAGTATTCCTTACCAAACTCACATAAGACATCCCAATTAAAGCCGTATTAAATATGTTGTAAGAATATACGTTATGGCTGCTGTCTTGAATTAGACCTTTTGAAGAACGGGATTCGGGTATAGGAGAAAAGAAGGTTAAGAAAATACTGGGTTGGTGAAAGTAAAGTAACATGATACCCTTATTTAATGGATTGAGAGGAGTTTGGTACATTGAGTACGTTTGCTGGCGTTGTTCTGCATTAAAAGTGGTCCCTGGTATTAACGCCATTGAAAATTGAGGGAGCTTACCTTTAAATTCGCTTGGTTACACAAATGATCCCACCCATAGAAAAGTGAAATCTGTTCTTTTTCCTATTCCAGCATACAGCATGGAATATACCATGTTACGCACATGGATCTGTTGAGGAAAATACAAACTACTCAATGGGTAATATCAGTTTTTAAAAAAAACCAGTAAAAGCAAATTAAGTTTATGAGCCAACATATGCAAAGTAAACAAACCATTTTTTTTTTTTTTTTTTTTTTTTTTTTTTTTTTTTGCATGATTTTTGTCTGGACAAGACTGTAGAAATGTTTCAATGCTGGCATCAGCACGAAATATCTAAAGACTTTATAAATAAGTCGGACAACAGTTCTAGGGTTGATGTGCACTGGCACCACCATTGTGAAAGCAATTCTCATTTTAAAACCGATTAAGGGGGACAGAGGTTGAATGACTAAACATTGACATTCCCAACTATAAACAGTAATAAGAGAAAAAGAAAATTGCAAGCTTTAATTACCATTGAGACGAAAACAAAGTTGACACATATTAGCCAGTGAAGAGAAAAGCGTGTTGCTCGAGAACAGCCACGTGGAGGCTTGTGTCTGTGCATTCCTATGTATACATATGATATATGTCTTGTTTAAGGAACATGAGGGGTGGCTTTCTAGCTTAGGGCTCGCCTGACCGCGGGGCTGATGATTTGGACAATTTCCAACTTACAGCCCCCCCCCCCGTTGGTGACTTGAACTCACTCAACAGCCTAGTATCAAAAGAAGGTAGTCCACTTTAAAATGCGCCTCTTTTTAATCAAATCCTCTCAATACACAGCAAAGTGCTCACGATGTAGAGTGGATCAAGCTATTCGGATCCTGGATACTTTATTAAAACCCACACAGGTATATTTGCTTTATTGGTGGATCAACCCTCATACTTATATGATCATCCCAAATGAGACATAATACACACATGAGATGATGCCTGACAAAAAGTTGACTCGGCTGTTTGTCTAAGGCAATAATAATAACAGCAGCCTATATGATAGTCTCGTTGTGTGTATTCGCATATGCTTTATGAATAAGGGGGATACTTTATCCTTTGTTTTGGTGATAATTTATAAAAAAAAACAATTATGTATTATAATAATAAAAAATGGATAAGTGGGTGGGGGGATAAAAGAAAGAGAGAAAAAAAGATACTATGGGGGGTAGAAAGGATGTGTGTGGGGGGGATATCAATATAAATTTTAGAGTCATCTTTTACTATAACTCTTGATGGAAGAAGAAGAGGAAGAGGAAGGAGAAGAAATGGCTGATGAAGAAGAATTAAAAATCATTTGTAAACGTTTCTTATCCTTTTCTAATCGTTGACATTCCTGTTGTGACCTTCGATTCTCTAATTCCAATGCATCCACACGATTCTTCATATCCAACATACGTTCAACCAAGGCTGTCAATGCATCCTTTGACATAAGTTGTTGATGCACTAAATCATCATTGTCACGCTTTAACTTTGTATTCTCTTTACGTAATTCTATACACTCGCGTTCATACTTGGTGTTATGAAACGCACTAGCCATTGTCATCTTTAATGCATCTCGCTCTGCTTCCACATCCATCTTGTCTAACCTTGATTGCATTAAATCGTCTTTTAATTCAATGGATTCACGTTGCGTTTGTTGTAAAGCTAATAACAAGTCTTCAATTTGATGATGTAATTGAGATACATCGGGTTCTCTTAGAGAGCTAATCGAATGACGATCGGAATCATAACTCTTTTTGGCAGGTGCACTACTATACCAAGACATGGTCTTCTTTTTACGTGTGTTACTACGATTACTACCCGTACTAGATGTTGTATTGTTCTTGGACCAGAAATTGAAACGAACAGCCAGTACTTGTTCAGTTTGCTTTTGCTCTTGTTCCAATTCAGAGACGTACGTTTCTGCTATATGATCCATTTTTTCCTTGGTGATAAGACCACTGAGTTCGACAGCATCTGAAATGACTTGTGTTGGATCATTGTTGTAAGCATCATACAGTTTATTGGATAAGAAGTCGAGGATATCTTCAAATTCTGTAAGTTTCATGAGTTTAGATTGAGATCGTTTCAACATGGCGATGGAGACACGCATGATGGTTTCTGCAGCACCTTCAGCAAACACAATATCGTAGATACGTAAAATGAGTTCCATAGGAAAAGCATAAGCAAATAAAGTCAGGAACCATTGAGAAGCGTACATGGGCACATTGACTTCATGCAAATTTAAAAAATCCGATAAATCGGGTAAGATCTGATCTAGTAGGCTGGAGAATTGATATAATCTGAGTTGTAATCCTTCCATATTTAATGTGAACATGGTTCTCATCTCATACGTCTCCATAATTCTAACTATATGTGAGCCTTTTTTTTTTTTATTCTATCCCTTAAACATACAAGTTCCTTTTTCTTTTGCTTACCTTACAAATACACAAAAAGCTTGCTGTTCAGGCATCTACAGAGAGGGAGAGAGAAAAAGGAGGTTTTAGAAAGAGAGAGAGAGAGAGACAGAGGGGGGTTAGGATAGTGATGAGACTTACATTTAACAATAACGGACCAACCAAAAAGGCCAAACCTTGACAATAACCAACCAAAGAATCATATAGACTATAAGCTTTCAATACTCTTTCCAAGGCTTGTTGACCATGACCACCTTCCTGCTTAAACATATCAATACCGGGAAAGGTACGAGCCAAGTCTCTTTGGATGATGCGTTCATAGGGAGAGTGTTCAGCCACGAGTTGACCATAGACAGTTTCGAGGTTGAGGGAAGCGGATTGGGACATGGCTTGCCAGATCACGCCTCTGACTTTAGGGGGAATTCCTGCTCTTAGTTTTGCCGAGACGAGATGAGGTAGTTTCAGAGCAACCGAACTAAAGTCTTCAGTCAGGGCAGTCCAGAACTCCCAATCGATAGTCGAGTCGACGATTTCATCCGATGTGACTGCAAGGTTTTGAATGGTCGATAAGTGTGTTTTTAGTTGATTCGATTGAATACACACTGATTTTGGGTCTTCATCTAATTTGGCATTTTGTCTTTCAATTTGAGCGAGAATAAACTCGATTGACTCCTATTTTTTTTTTTTTTTGGAGAATAGATATTGTGAGTATAACATATATGAAGAAATAAAAATAAAGGTATTATATACTTGGGGTGGCAATTTTGCGTTTTCTTCTTCCAGTCTTGGAAGCAACTTGAAATCCTTTTTAGGACCTGTGTTTAGACTGTTGGTTCTTCTTCGACTGGTTGGACCCCCTCGTAGTGATCCACTGGTAGTTCGAGTCGGTGAAAGTAATAAATTATGTCGTATAGTGGAACTCTTTGAGGTACGTAGATGAAGTGGAGGTCTTCGAACATATTCTTCTTCTTGTTGTTGTAATGCATTGACAAGTCTCGACATTGTGTAGCTGTGTCTGTGTGTGTGTGTGTGTGTGTGTGTCTGTGTGATGAAGGGGGAAAAGAAAAAAAAAAAAAAAAAAAGAAAAAGGTACAATTAAATGGTTTTATTTAAATTTTGGGGTTCCGGGGGTCCACAGACAGATCACATTAAATTAAATACGCATCCAATAAAGGATGATGAGGATGGAACAAGTAGAGACAACACCCGCCATAATTAAAGTATCGCGCTTTCTTCTGGTATTAATACGAGAAATAATATTATTAATGCCAGGAATACGACTCACAACACCACCCACACGTTGATTGACTCCATGCATAATACGACCTTGTCGAGACACATCCTGTCTTGTCGCATACGCTTGTCTAATTATCAATTACATCAGTCCTGTGCTTCCCTTTTTATCTACCACTCCTTACTCTAAAATCATGTCTGTCATTCGATGTGAACTCTCTACCCTGTTACGCTCTGTCAAGTAATAATCCGCGTTGTCTCTATTTCCTGAATTAAACGTCCTAATCTCATCTTGCACTTGGTTCATCAAATTCGCCTTATCTCGAGCTGCCTTGATATTCGCCTATGAATTAGGGGGGGAAATCACATCAGAAATTTATGCAAAAAAAAAAAAAAAAAAAAAAAAAAAATTAAATGTACCTTGGCTCTTCTGAATTCTTTGGTATAATCGTACAAGATATCTTTATGTCTACTGAGTAAATGAATCATGGAAGGGTTGGTGGGTGTTGAACTAGGTTTATCAATAAAGTCGCCCATGCCTGTAATCACCAATTGTAGCTACAGTATACAATATTAAGTATGTTCATGACAATGAGGAGAGATGAAAGAGAAGGGTACATACCTTTTTTAGCAAGTCGTCTGTTTTAGCTTCTTGTCCAACATCTTCCAACGTGGCAGTAGATTGTCCCATTTTAGATAAAGATGCTAATTGACTTTCAATTTCGCCTTCCAGAGTTCTTGCTTCTTTTCGAAGTTGATCCCAAGACTGTATAGGTGCTGGAGGTTGAGACATGTCTGCCTCTTCATCTAAAAGCGGTTGAAGTGAAGGCGATGAACGTTGCATTAGTGGATATAAGAAAGAAAAGGGAAAGGGGGGGAAAGGGCAAAAAAAAAAAAAAAATGTGTAATTCTTGTTTTTTTTTTTTTTTTATTTATAACAGATTTCTGGGTTTAGATTCAAAAAAATTAATTTGTACTGTCACCAGCTTCAGGTGTGGTTATACATGCATTTGAATTGGGTGTGGAGGGTCTTGTTGTAAGAGCCAAAAGACGTTTATCGGTATATCCAGACTACGCCAAAATAAAAAATCGTTAGCCATAGGTCCCCTTTTTGTTGAACATAAAAAAAAAAAAAAAAAAAACTCACGCTCAAAAGATCCTGCTCTCTTGGAACTCGCATTTGTAACATGGTGTTGTTTTTTAGACTTTGCTTTAACACTCTCTTTAACGAATCATCTCCTACATACAGTCAAGAAGTGTGAGTTATACTCCATTTTTGATCCTAATCGACCCCCTAAATCCCTTACCTACTATTTAAAAGACATTTCCATAATCCATCAAAACCTTTGTATTGTAACACCATACCCGAAATTGAATTATCTTGAAATGACAACTTTAACCAAGCTACCAGTGGCTCGATCGTAGCATCAGCTACGTGTCAAAACCGTGAGTTTTCTTCTTTTTTTTTTTTTTTTTTATCGAATATGTCAAAAAATTTTAGAACACACTTACGAGATAATTGGAAATATAATGTACGAGTTAAGCTTAAATGGTTTACTTCGATAATAATTCCACTTGTAGGAGCACTGGTCGTTGTTGTTGTCGAATTCTGTTGAGCATGGTTAGCACTAACAAGGAGAGTTAATCAATAAAAATCAGAGGAAAAAAAAAAATAATAATAATGTAAAAAAAAAAAAAACTTACTTGAATCCAGGTGAATTCTCTGCATTCGTCTCGGGTTGTGTATTGGGTTGTGGGGACCAGGTTTGTGAAGTTTCCACAGATCTAGGAGATGATGACACATTAGATTGTGTCGATTGTTGTTGTTTTTGTTGTTGTTGTTGCTGTTGTTGTTGTTGTTGTTGCTGTTGTTGAGCTTGCTGTTGTTGAGCCTGCTGAGCTTGTTGGGCTTGCTGGGCTTGTTGTTGAGCTTGCTGTTGAGCTTGCTGTTGGGCCTGTTGGGCTTGTTGTTGTGCTTGTTGTTGGGCCTGCTGTTGTGCTTGTTGTTGTTTCTGTTGCTTTTGCAATTGTTGTTGTTGTTGGGCTTGCTGTTGTTGAGCTTGTTGTTGCTGTGCTTGTTGTTGAGCTTGTTGGCTATTGACAAGAGCATTCATGCCTTCGATTAATTTTCTAACTTCTGCTAAATCATTGGCAGCGGCTTCTGTTGCTCTGTCCATTACAAAGCTCATGTATTTTTTTTTTTTTTAAAAAAAAAAGAGAGAGAGAGAAAAAAAAAAAAATTAAAACCGCCGGGGAACATACTCCAAAGAAATATAATTTTTTTTTTCTCGCTAGTGTAACCTCTATTTTTTTTTTTTATTTTTTTTCTGGGAACTTTTTTATTTATCAATGACAAGCTGCTTTTATTGTAAACACAAAAAACTTAAATTCCCGGTTATGTTTTTATTTTATTTTTTATTTTTTTTTTGGGTGAAAACAAAAGTCGATCCTTTACATATTTAGGTAACATTCAGGTCTACAAGATAACATTACACCACCTATCATGCAAAAAAAAAAAAAAATCTATACTAGTACAAAACTTGTTTCACTTCATTTATAAAATATCATGTCCTCTTGAAATTCATATTGACTTTGATGAAATGTAAAATAAGATGCTGCAATGTGCGTAAAGATTGGAAATTCATCCATACAATGTAAGGCATAAATAAAAAGCATCTAGATGCACTACAAAGAAGAGAGAAAAGCAAAAAGAAATGCTCCCTGGCGGGCTCGAACCGCCGACCTTCAGATTATGAGACTAACGCTCTACCAACTGAGCCAAGGAAGCCTTTCAGATGCTTTTTGATAAGTTAAAACAATTATAAAGGCTAAATTAAATTAGCTGATTACGTAATATTTTTTTAAATATTTTTGTTTTTTATTGATCAGACGAAATGCCTTTGATTTAAAGGTTCAAACATATATATAATTCAATTTTGGATTATTATCTGCTGAAAATTATCACACAAATGTGAAAGAAGGTGGAATAGTGTTATGAAATGTTATAATCGAGGCTATAGGACTTGTGATGATTGGAGTAGAAAAGGATAAAATAAGTAGATAGAAATAAAAACAAAAAAAAAAAGGGATGATACTCTTTTATTCTTCATTATAAGTTGGAGAGTTCTTCATAATAAAAATAAAGGTCCTTTTATATTGAATCATTACTTCAATAAACTTCTGTGTAGGTTGATTAAACATTTCCAGAGAGCTGGGAGTTATTGGATTAGAATAATAAATCTGTAGCGACATAAAACTGTCGTATTCAGGTACGATTCACTTAAAAATAATTAAACAAGTCGTTTAAATAAATAAGTTATAAATAAGGCGAAGGATCGCCAGCTGTCTAACATTTCATAAGTTGCCGTGAAGGAGGGAGGGGATAATTTTATAAATTGGACGCAGAAAATCGTTTTCACATATTAAAAAAAAAAAAAAAAAAAAAAAAAGTACTTAAATCAATTTACCGTGATTTAAGGAGAATTGCAAAAAAGAAATGGAGACAATACTATGTAACTTTGTTTCGACTTTTCTTTCGTAATTTTTCTTGAGATCTAATTGAGGTTTAAGATCATCATTAAGAGTTGTTTGTTACTAAACGTTATGACTTGGTAGTCGATATTTATTATATATATAATTTAAAAGTCATATTATGTTGCTTGTGTTGATATTTATAGTGCTATGTATGTGGTTATTTATAGAATAATATTTGTACGACTCATGGGGTTTGATGCCTTTGCTCAGAGTATTCAATCATATCAACAGCGTCAAGGTTCACACCAAATTTTCTTTTAATTCTGACAGGTAGATCTGCACCAAAGAAGTATAAATCATCAGCTTTTCTTACTCGGGACATTGCTACATACATTTGACCGTGGGAAGGCATGTTATCTAAGTGAATCGCAACAGAATCAATTGTGATACTCTGTGCTTTATGTATGGTAGTAGCAAACGCAGGGACTATTGGAAATTGTGACCTGACGTAGCTTGTGCCTGGAATCGATCTGGTAATTCGTTGAATCCAAATTGTTTGTTGACTGCCGTCGGCGTTGTGTTTTACAAGTAAGATATTTTCATCATCGACTTCTAAAATTTTTGCTAAAGTGCCATTTACCCAACCTTGAGAGACCCGCAAGTTTTGAAGGAGCATGACCGGCATGTCGACTTTCAGTAATAGTTCTTCAAGAAGTCTGGTTTCTTTTAAGGCTCTGACAGCTGATTTCCGATTGCCACCGTTGTAAATATCTATAGAAGTGATCGAGATCGAATCGCCTTCCAGGTTTTAAACTCCTTGGTATTGGCTCTGTCTACGTTAACTCGCGTTGTGTATAGACGTAGGCAACTGGCTGGTATGTCACTTTTAAGGACCGTTCTAGAATTGATAAACTTAACCACTTCCTCATCGAAATTACATATGCGAACTTTGTTAAGAACATCAATAAGTATTTGATCAACTTGTCGAATCGGTGCGTGCAATGTAAATTTAGTAGAGTAGTTGTATAGCGGAGAATCCCAAATTAGGCCTTCGTCAATACGTACAGGTAGCAACTGTGCAACATCACCAAAAAAAAGTGTTTTAATACCTCCCATCGCTGTGGCTCTTTGTGTTGTTCTGATCAAAGCATCATTCATAATGTCCAAAAGCTTCTTACTAATCATTAGGGACGCTCAAATAAAATCGAGCCTCCAGGTTCCAGCTTCCAGCAAATTTTAGATAAATTCTATTGGCCAAGCATTTTCCGATTTCTTTTTGTGATTTCTTAAATTTGCTGGAGCAAAAAGTGCTCCAGCAAAATAAAAATTAATTCCAGCTTTTTTTTCGTCCAATAACATTTTGGTATTTCGTTACATGATGTAAGGCTATCAAGCATGACATAATTTATTACTTTAGTCTTTTCCACTTCAACAACACTTTTATTATTATTATGCCTCTCTTGTCAACTAAAAAACGTCTCATGGAAGACGTTAAAAAAATGCTGTTTTTCTTCATTACAAAATATGAACGAGAAACCAAGTCGACCGAAGTAGATCGTCGCATAATCGCAATGACAAAACAGAATCTGGAAACAATGGCAGCTTTTTACCTTGCTTTACAAACCGAAAGATACAGCGTAAAAAAAAACTGGGGTACTCGTATTCGTACTGGCACATATCTCGATTTATTAAACGAAGGTAGAGAAAGTGTCTTTAAAAGTAAAATAAGGATGAGTAAAGAAGCCTTCAAAGACGCAGTCAGAGCGTTTGGTGATTATGAGGAGTTCGAGAACTTCACGAAAGAGAAAATTGAGCTCCATTTCTTGATCACTTTTCATCGATTGGGATGTAAAGGAAATGCTGCTTCAATCACGCAGGTATCCGATTACTTTGGTGTTTCTGGTATGACAAAAAAAACGCTCAGATTTATTATGATCTAACATTAAAAGTAGAAGGTACTGTGATCAATTACACCAAGAGAACCATAAATGCAATTCTGGCTAAAGAAGATCAGTATGTTTACTGGCCAGCGGCAGAAGAAAGGGAACATATATCAAAGAAGATAGGCGAAAGAAGCCACTTCAAGTCATGCGTCGGATTTGTCGATGGTACATTTATAAGAACCGAGCGTAGTCCCAGCTATGCCAAGAATAATTTTTATTCTTATAAACGTGCGTATGGTATCTCTACAATGCTCGTTTGTGATCACAAACGAAGAATTCGTGTTTGTGTCACTGGATGTCCTGGTGCTATTCATGATAATAATGTTTATCAAGCAACAAGTCTGGCCAAATCCCCACATAGACATTTCTCCCCTGGTGAATATATATTAGCTGATAGTGCATACAGTGTTACCTCGACTGTCATCTCATCATACAGAACCGGTTCAGTACAGGCTACAAAAGAAGAAATAGAGAAATTTAATTTGTATGTAGCTCAAACTCGTATCGCAATTGAACATTGCAATGGAATTCTGAAAGGAAAGTTCCAAAGCCTTCAAGAGCTTCGTATTACAATTCGTGACAGGAAAACTTTGATCGAAGCGGGAAGATGGATTCGTGCTTGTTGCATTATGCATAATTTCCTTTTAGAAGATTCAACTGACATAGAGGAGTTCAGAGAGGCCAGTGGACATAGAAGATTCATCAGTAGTTCGCAGAATAGGTCAGATGATGATAGTAGTTTAAATTTCAGAAGAAATCAGTTGAAGAATGATATATTGCATAACAACGCTCAAAATTAATAAACATTTATTTAAAAAAAAAATAGGTTAATAATCTGCAAGGTCTTCCATAAACTTCTTTATGGTTTCATATCCTTCAGATCCTTTTTCTTCGTTTCGAAGTTCTTTATTCAAAAGCAGCCATTGCTTTTGTCTCTCGAATATCATTGCTACTCTCTCGTCATCCCTCTTTTCTCTTTGAAACTCCAATAGCTCGTCCTCGCGATCTTCATACTTCTTAGATGCTTTTCTTTGTCTCTCAAAGAAGTCGGTAATGCACTCATTGAGACTCCTCTTTTTTCCTCTACTTTGTCTAGGCGAAGGTGGTCTAGTGGAAGAGAGGGGCAAAACATCATCGTCATCATCATCATCATCATCATCCAAGTTGACATCATCAACATCATCCATGTTGGTTGAATGAACATCGTCTTCATAATCAGGCTGTTCATCATACGCACTTAAATCAGGAGTCCCACTGACGATATTCCCATTCGACTGCATTCCTTCACCAGTTACAAGTGGATCCGAGCCAAGTAAAGGGAGAAGATCATAATACCACTTAAACAAATGAGTGGTTTTCTCTAAAAGTTTAGATATAGTAAGTTAAACAAATTTAACGGTATAATAGTTAGCAGTTAGTAGTTTTCTTCTTACCTTCAACAGTGACGTTACCATCAACAGCAGGATCAACACCATATCCAGTAGCGGTTACCGTCTTGTAAGTAGCGGTAAACGATTTTTTCAAATATCTAATCGTCTCTATGATACTTTTTGTGGTTCTTTCACGATGTCCTCTGTTGACGAGGATTTGGGCCAGCTTTTTCGCCATACCTGTTTGGCTTTCGGCTTCACCTGGTTTTTGACTTTCACATCCGCTGAATTTACTCCAATTATCTCCTACTAGCATCCATTCAACCACAATATCTTTTGAGCACTTGCCATTACTATCGAAGTCATTGATCCAGCTCTTTGCATTCGGGATCTTGTCTGTAACACCAGGACGACTATTAGTCGTGGAGCTTCCCTGGGGTCTAGGGGTAGC